AGTTTGAACGAATTAAGTAACTCCTCTTTTACTTACTAGATAAATTGGATTTTTTACTAAACATAATCATGTAAGTCAATTTTATTTAAAGTTAGCAAACAAGTTTCATCTTGTTAAATCGGTGAGATTTCGTGGGACCACTGCCAACTGTTTGAGGAGGCAAATGGGGCGTGAAAAGAATTGAACTCAGGATCTCCAGCTCTAATAGAACCACTGCCAACTGTTCTAATAGCTTAAATTCTTAGATGAAGGCGTGATTTAATATTTAATTATTCTAACAAAATCTATGAGTTCTTAATTTTTCGACACTTAATTTGGTTATCAAACGAGCCCAGTACTTTAACCTTTGAAATCGCCCACGAGTCCGATCATCCGCCGGTCCATGCTCATCTAAGAATTCGTAACTCGACCCGGTCTGATCCCAGAGGCCTAAAAAAACCATTGCGATTTCCCGGTTTGACCAAAGCAATTTTTGCGGTAGCAGGAGTAGCGGACTAGTAGTCACCGGGCATAATAATGTCTAAAATCTCCACAGCGTGCTGGTCTTTTGCTCGTCGCACGTCTGGCGAGGGCGTGAAATCGCACGAGCCCGGATTTTTCCAAGAATCGGAAGCAGGATGCATTTTCCCGGAAAATTAACAGGATTTTACCTGATTTTCCCGGAAAATTACCTGCGTCGGTCACGCTGCTGTCTAGATGTCGTTCCCCTCTCTCTCTCTGTGACCCGCACGTGTGCGTACGCACGACACGACGACGACAACAACCAGTCACAAACTTGCGAGGCGACTCGAGCCGGCGAGAGACAAAGTTCGTCCGCCACGACGGGACCCAAGAGAGCGATGGATGGATGCTGCTTCCGCTGAACAAAGTCAATTCGAGAGGGTTTTCATCCCACATTGGAGTTCGCCCTCCCCTTAGTATAATTAATAACGAGAGCGATGCCCTCGTAAGGTGTTTTGACCCATAGTATCTGTTAGTAATTTATGTGGTTAAAAAAAAATCCCTCACTTATCATATTAGGTGGATTTTTTTTTACTTAATTGTGTCTTTTAAGTCCGATCCAAATTAAGCTTATCAAACAAGCTTAGCCTCATTAATCGCCGAATATTCAATTTTTAGCGCTTAATTGGGTCATCAAATAGGCCTTAAGAGACTTTATTATAAAATTTTCGCAGGTTTAATGATTTGGTTGCACAAATTGTAAGCTCAAGGCCACATGAAAAAGCAACGGATGGAGATTATGAGACTGTGTGATGAAATTGAAAATTAAGTGCTGAAAATTTAAGTACTGCATTTTATGGTGTTGATTATGTTCCGTCCCAAAAATAGGAATAAAAGGTTTTATGATAATTGAAAATCGATAGTTGAATATTATGAGTCCTTAACAAGCATAGAAAAATGATGGGATAATTATCATGATCAATTTAGTTCTAAATTGTTTAATTTGACCAATTTAGCTGTAAAATTTCAATTTGACCAATTTAGTCCTCTACCTTTTGAAAATTAGCCAATATAGTACTTTCAGCCAAAATTAGTCAGAAATCGATAACTTGTATATCAGCCCTCCTACGTGACATGGCTAGCACGATGTGGACAATTTATACAATTTTTTTTAAAATTCTTTTGTGCCACGTAAGATGGCTGACGTCAATGACATCGATTACTAGCCAAAATTGGCCGAAAATACTACATTGTCAAATCTTCAAAAGGCTTATGACTAAATTAACCATTGTACAGTAAGTTTATGATTTTTTTTTGGGTAGTTTTCCCAAAAAAAAATGACTATCATTAGTAGGTTTCATCACTATATTTGGCAAGATTTTGGATTACCAATAATTATTTTTAGTTTGGACGAATTAAGTAACTCCTCTTTTACTTACTAGATAAATTGGATTTTTGAATAAACCTAATCACGTAAGTCAATCTTATTTAAAGTTAGCAAGCAAGTTTAATCTCGTTAAACCGTCGAGTTTTTTAATTTTTCGACACTTAATTTGGTTATCAAACAAGCCCAGTACTTTTCACCTTTGAAATCCCCTACGGGTCCGATCATCCCCCGGTCCATGCTCGTCTAAGAATTCATAAGTCGACCCAGTCCGATCCCAACACTCAATTGGAAGTAGGATGAATTTTCCAGGAAAATTAACAGGGATTTACCTCATTTTCCCGGAAAATTACCCGTGTCAGTCACGCCACTGTCAATATGTCGTGCTCCTCTCCCTCTCTCTCTCTCTCCGTGACACGCACGTGCGCGTACATGCGACGACGATGACAACAAGAAGCAGCCAAACTTGCGAGGAGACGCAAGTAGGTGAGAGAAACCAAGTTTTTTTTTTTTTTGCAGTAGTAGTAGTAGTAGACTGGTAGTTACTGGGCAGCCCACGCTGGCTATTTTGCTCGTCGCACGTCTGACGAGGCGTGAAGCACTTTCCCGGAAAATTACCCATGGGAACCTGATTTTCCCGGAAAATTACCTGTGTCGGTCACGCCGCTGTCTAGATGTCGTTCTCCTCTTATCTCTCTCCGTGACCCGCACATGTGCGTACACACGACGACGACGACGAGGAGTCACAAACTTGCGAGGAGACTCGAGCCGGTGCGAGACAAAAGTTCGTCTGCCACGGGCCCACGACGAGACCAAAGAGAGCGATGGATGGCTGCTTCTTCCGCTGAACAAAGTCAATTCGAGAGGATGTATTGACGTTTGTGACGTTGCACTGTGTGATCGAAAACGCGATTGTTGTGCTAGTGCTATGTGCCGCAAGATCGATACTATTCCCGCGTCATTCACGAATTTTTGGGGCTCATCCATTTTGTTACGGTTTTCGAGTTTTGAGCACAAGAAAGCTCGGTCGAGTCGGGTGGAGAGCCATACGGGATGCGGCTCCCAATCTTAGGTTTGCTCGAATGAAGGCTGTTATAAATGGGATCTCACGAGAAGTCCCGTTTCGATCGGTTCACTGTGGCGCTACGAAATTTTGTCGTGTCGTACTTGTTCGGCGAAAGGTTTTGAGTTAATACCACGAAAAACCCTAAACTGGTACTACAATTTTACCCCAAATTATTTTTTTTGACTATAAAAAACCTCAAACTGGTATACCTGTGATAAATTTATCCTGAACTATTTTTTTGACCACCAAAAACCCTAAACTGGTATACTTGTGATAATTTTACCTCGAACTAACTTTTAATATTATTTTTTATTTTTTCAAATTTTTTTTCTTTTTTTTTTTTTTTTCCTTCATCTTCTTCATCTTCAACCTCTGGCTGGTCGCCGGACCAGCGACTGCCCAGAGGCGAAAGCCGAAGAGGGCTCTGCCCCTTTGGCTGCTGGGGAGGCTCGACCTCGCCAGCGCTGGGCGAGGCCGATCTTGCCGTTGCAGGGCGAGGCCGACCTCTCTGTTACCAGCGGGGCTTGCAACGGCAAGGTCGGCCTCGCCCAGTGCCGGCGAGGTCGAGCCTTGCCTGGCAGGACTAAGCCTCGCCTGGCGGGGCCGAGCCCTCGCCGGCGGCGACCGGCCAGAGGTTGAAGATGAAGAAGATGAAGGAAAAAAAGAAAATAAAATAAAAAAATTAGTGCGGGGTAAAATTGTCACAAGTATATCAGTTTGGGGTTTTTGGTGATCAAAAAAATAGTTCGGGCTAAATTTATCGCGGGTATACCAGTTTGGAAATTTTTATGATAAAAAAAATAATTTTTGATAAAATTATCACAGTTGTATCATTTTAAAATTTTTCGTGATATTAACTCAAATGTTTCATTGAATTGAATTTCTTCTTGTGGAATCGGGACTTTCGGTCGAAGAGGGCGGTCGCGATCATTCCCCGAATTCTAGATAATCGATATAGGTTGGGGGTGGTCGGTGCGAGCCCGCGCAACCTTAAAATAATTTAATCCCTACTACCGTGTAATAGTATTCCACGCGCATTCTCTCTCTCTCTCTCTCTCTTTGTTTTTTCCTTTTTTAAAATTTTTTTATTTTCATTGAAATTAGTTCTCTTCGTAAAATAAATAAATAGTTTACGCCGTCGAAGAATTTTATCCGCGCAAAGAAATTTCTGATTTTTGAGGAATTTTCAGTTTCACAAAATGCTTAATTTTTGTTCATACTCGTCGTCCAGATAAAATATACGAATTCATTTCCTTTAATATTAGTGGTTAGGTAAGTAAAATCCTCCTTTAAAAGTATCCATGACAGAATGTATGCGGTACATGAATGGATGTATATGATCATTTTGCTCAAAAGTATGTCAAAAAAGTTCGGCATTATTATAATTGAATCGTAAAATGATGTCATCGTGATTTTGCTTCAATTGTATTGTAAACAGGAAATATTTATATATTGAATCAAGCAACAGTATATCTTTTTGACATTGTCAGTTCGATATATTGTACACACATATATACATATATATTCTAAATATATAATTATAATATGGATTCATTAGTTGTTACAATGTATAAGTTATAATCGCGTGTGATTAGAAGCGATTAAGTGAATTTTCCTCTCGGTTGTTGAAAGCCATGCGTAGATAACTAATCTTAGAGCATGTCACCCATTGATAAGAGATCGGATCGACAAGATTTAGCTTAAACTCGCGTTAAAGGCAAAAATAGTTCAATTATTAAACAGACAAAAGCGGGCTAATAGGCCTAGTAAAGAGATTGGGAGGTGAGGACGCTAGTATCACAGGTACGAGATTCAATTTCTGTGCTCTGCAAGAGATAGAGCAAAAATCTGAGAGTGATGTGAGTTGGTGATGCGAATGACAACAAAAAAAAAAAGGCAAAAGCGGGAAAAAGCAAAAAGAAAAAAAAGAAAAGAAAAGAAAATACAAAAAAATAAAATTGTACATGCAAATTAGTAAAATCGGAGAAAAGGAAAATTTCTAAAATCCGCAACGTTTCCCGGAAATATACACGAGGTCACTTTTCTTGGAAATGCATGTGCGTTTCTCCTTCATGGCGTTGTACAAAACGGGACGCAATCCAATGATTACTACAAGTTCATCACTTTCGAGTTCGAGTTCGAGTTCGTAGATACTGCTGTCCGATTCCTTTGTCTGCTACTTTCTTGCGGCGACCCAACACTCCCCTAGATTCCGACACTTTCCCCTGTTTCTTGATAAGCCCCCACAGAAGAGCAGGGGAAGGTCGCGTCCATGGCGAAGAGAGCTTCTGCCTCCTCTTCTTCGGGTCAACCAAGTCAACCCAAGAGGCAATGCCTCGTTCCAACGGGGTAAGTTCGATGATCGTGTTGGTTTTAGCTTTGCTTGTGGGAAATTCAGTGAAGGGTTCTTGAGAGTCGAAGGTTCTTGAGATGAGAGGTACGGGGAAGCGTGCGTTGAGGTGTGGCGTTGATTAGCTTTTGCCGGGTGACTGTTCTGGATCGCTTTCGTTCAGTCTTTTGCTTGTGGGGTCTGTGCTGTGGCTTCAATGTGAAGTATGAAAGACCCCACAATGTTGTCGTCTCGAATCTGTTATGCGGTTTCGCGCTGGCCGATCGCCGTACTTCCTCCTTGTTCCCATTAAACTCCGTTAAGGTTTTTACCTAGCAAGTGAGCTGTTATTGTCATCGGGTTACTTTGCTGTCCTGTTTGCTGAATTATCCTATCTCGCTTGTGTTCTTGTGCTGATCTTCACGCAGTCAAGTATGGAGTGGGTCCGAGAGGAATCTTGTGCCGGGGAGCTGTTCGACGGAGGAGGATGGCCAGAGAGTGGTAAGATGAGTAAAGTAGCCAACTTGGACATAGAAAATACAGTCTTCATTGTATTTCAGTTGCTGATCTCTTTGATTAGAAGCGGTTGGATGAATTTCTGACCTTCCAGTCAGTTTCCTGATAGAAATCTGCATTAGCAATTGCTCCGAGATGTATAGAGAAGTATCGTTTGAGTGGTAAAAATGACCTTCTGACTGTTCTAGGCTTTTCCTGTGAAGTAATTCCACTAAGAACATGATTTAGGTTTTTCATGTCGTTTGGGACAGATGGATCACAAAAAGACACAAACTTTTCAGTGAAGTGGCTTGGACATAATTGTCTCCTTGAATCTTGGAAAATGTGGTCTATGACTATTTCAATTTGCATGTAGAAGGAGGACAATAAAGATACCTGTGATGTAAAACTTGAATGCGACGAATACATGAGAGATTTTTCTTGCAATGTAATTCTTCGCTATTACTCTTTGCTTGACAGAGCGGAGAAGAGCCAGAACGTGCAAAATCTGACCCGGTCGAATATTGTCAAAGGTGATTATATTTCATTTGGTTTGTAGGTAGTATCTTATTCGAAACAATTGATTCTTCTAATAGAATTTCCATGTGTATTGTCTCGCCAACTAGAAATATCATCGAGTATCACATGCCATCAATCCATGAGTCTGTTCGGCAAAGTGTGATACCTGCACATAAATTTTTCTGTTAATCACTAAAAGGACGGTGCATTTGGAGATAACAGCTAATTAACTTCACGTGCTTCTGTAACTACCGGAGAGACCAACTTTACATTGACTTTTCTGTGGCGCCTTAGATTAAGGGAATGCATCTGATGAGTCTGATATCTGTCTTTTTACACGGTAATTAGGTCAGACATTCATTTGTACAAGGAACTAATATGTTCCATATAGATATTCTCTTTGTTATGAATAAATCCTCAAGACGGCAGTGTTCATGGTGTCAATATTTCACTGTGTAGTTGCACTGGGAATGCTCTCAAAGATATAGTGCAACTGATCCATTCAATGGAGAAACGGATGCATTCAAAGATCCATTCAATGGAGAAACGGATGCATTCAATGGAGAATTCTATTCAGAAACTGGTAAGATAAACAGAGTTTATAAAATTCCCACTTTTCTCAAACATGTCTCCAAAAACACTTCAAACATGAGTTGTTTTTCTGCCTGTCATGAAGTGATTGAATGAACTTATTGACCAACAAATCCGTTGCTAGCTAATTGATTTATCCTGACTGTTTGAACGGCATTTATTGAGCATGAACTTTGCACAATTATTTTCTTTTATAATCAAATATTCATTATATTGCACAAGCTGTGGAAAGAAAAACATGGGAGGACTACATCCCATACAAGTCCATTACAGCATAATGTCCCACATATACAGCCGACATCGAGGTGCCGACCTACCAGTAAATACCACTTTGTCTACGGAGCTAGAGTTTGGAGCAATCAACCCACACAAAGCCCATCTGAGTTTCAAGCAGATCATCTTGACTTGCTGGAGGCCATCTCCATTCCATTTGCCTCAATAACATCCACAACTGTGGCTTTATCACCTAAAGCTGAATCGTAACCATTCCAAAGCACATGTAACATTTTACATGGACATGGAATGAAAAGGGAAATAAAAACGGTTAGGATTGTTTATATTAGCTATATATACAACTGCTATTTGGTAAACACTGATTTGAAATGTGCTTGAAGAACTTAGCTCAATAATGTGTTCGATAAGCTGTTTTTAAGCAGGATGTTTTTGACTCCTTTTGACGGAATGGATTAGTTTTGTATCCCCTCTGCTTCATTTTTTTTATGTCTCCAACTTTGGTATTTCTTCTGTTGGTGGTTTTGAACAGACCGAAACAGTGGAGCTTGCAAATATTCACTCTCCCCACCTTGGAAGGTATGAATGCACTTCCCTGTGATGCTGGCTTTCTGTGTTGTATTGACCCCTTATGCATTTTTGATTTTTTGGTGAATAATGGTCCGACCTACCCCTAACACCCCACAGCAGGCAGTCAGAGCTCAGTGAGAGTCTGGCCAGAATGACTAGGTCGTGCACCAAATTGTCAATGTGCCAATTTAGAACATACTTTTTGTAGCTTGAGAGCAGTGGAGCTTTTCATCTTGTTTTGTTTTATTTTTAAAAAATTTGCATTTTTATACTCTCCGAGACAATGCATCTATTTATCCTTGTAGTTTACCTAGAAGTAAGACTTGTCCAAGTGCGATGTTTGGTAGTTTGTCTCTCTGTGTCATTACTTTTCCAATTTTCCGCTTCTATTCCCGTTCCCATTCCTAATAATTGGTTTCCAAAGAAAATGCAGGGTTAATGCTAGATCTACAGGAATAAATGATGTGAGAAACTTACGGCTTCAATTTCAAACCAAACTGTCAGATACTCTATTTACTGGAAAGAAACTACAAGGAGATGGGGGTGCTCGCATTTCTGTTGCCTTGATCGATGTGAATACACGGGATGTTGTTACATCAGGCCCGGAATCCTCCATTAAGTCGGATGTTGTCGTGCTTGAAGGTGACTTCAACAAAGATGATGAGGATAACTGGGCTCATGAAGAGTTTGAGAACTACGTGGTTAAAGAGCGTGAACGAAAGGGGCTGCTTTTGACAGGAGATCTGCAAGTGACGCTGAAGGGAGGTGTCGGAGAGCTGGGAGAACTGATATTTACTGACAATTCCAGCTGGAATAGGAGTAAAAGATTCAGGATAGGGCTTAAGGTGGCATTGGGTTATTGTGGGAATACGCGAATCCGAGAGGCCATAACAGATGCCTTCCGTGTCAAGGAACATAGAGGAGAATGTAAGTCTTCCATAGTCCTTAACAGTTCATATAACCTTGTCCTTCCTTTATGACTGACCATAAACATGGTTTCAGACATCCAGCCCTCAATAATTTTTATTGAGAGCTTCATTTTGTGCGGACCTTTGCATCTCCAACAAAAATTTTGATGAATAAATAAAGATCGGCTTCTTTGTCATTAGCAAATGTTGACACTTTGGATCAGTTTCAGGAGAGAGTCTGCACGTCTACAGAAGTTTGCTTCTACTCATTAATTTTATATTGACCGAGACCTTACTGTATATGTTCTGTCCATTTACAGCATCCAAGAAACATGATTCACCAGCATTCGATGATGAGATCTGGAGGTTGAAGATGATTGCTAAGGATGGGAAATATCACCAAAAACTGAGTGAAGCCGGAATACAAAAAGTGGGGGACTTTCTACTGCAATTGTTTATGGACCCCACAAAACTAAAAGAGGTAAACTTAGTTCATGATTCTCAATTAGGGTTTGATTGACTACCACGAATGTAAGTCTTGCGTGTTCACTCATTGTAGATTCTTGGAATGGGCTCAAATTCGACAAACTGGGATACCCTTGAAAATCATGCAAAGAGTTGCAAAACAAATTGGAAACTTTATTTGTACTATGCAGATGGCACGAGGAAGCATGGTGCTGTATTCAACACAGATCGCCAACTAATTGGCCTAATTAAAGATGGAGTATATTGTGCTACTCATCGACTTTCTGCCGATGATCAGGTAAGTAACTAGGAGTTCCTACTAAGTTCTATCAAGCCAGTTCACATATCATGCTTAATTCGTATAATTTGTCCCATATTATCTATGTAATTCGCAATTTGATGTTTACTCGTAGCTGTGTGGCTTAATTGGTTTTAGTATTGATCAGAGATATGGAAACTTATAACGAGGAGTTGGTTGGACATCTAGATGCTTTTGTTTTTTGGTTTTTTATCAGTAAAAGTAATATGAAGTGCCTGTAGAGAGAATTAAAGGAAAATCTAGATGCTTTTCTAGATCCATAGTTGAGACTATTTGTTAGTAGATTGATTTTGAGCTTTCGCTCGTTGCAATGCAAAGTTGAAGATAGTGACCTTGTATATCTCTAAGTGGCCCTCTATCCTCCGCAGTTAAAATTATACAAAAAAGCATGAGTAACTTGGACAGAACTTTCAGCAGTTGATTTGTTGTCATCCATGAAAATGTGAGGCACTCATCAGCGTATTGTCGTTTGAGTAATTAACACATTCATGTTGCAACTATTACTTTTCAAGTATAAAGCTATGAAGATCTTTATTACTTGCGCAATACAAGTTGATCCGTGTTTTATTTCTTCACTGGTCCTTTCTCGATCAACTTTGTATCTTTACCCTGAGGATCCTTGCCTTGATCGTACTCTCCATTACATCTTTCGAGCACCTGACCTTTATGTGGTGGAGAAATGGGCAGCAATAGGGAATTGATGTTCTTCCAATGTTTCTTTTATTCTTCTTTCCCTGTGCTGCACTTACGTACTTACTCTGAGTACAAGTTCATCCGTCCGAATGCAACATCACTTGCCAAAAAAAGATAGTGTTGATTGGAGTCACAGCGTGTACCTTCAATAGTGGAGATAAATACTTCAATTAGTCCAGCTCGAGTGATTTACCGAGTGTTTTTCTTCCAGGAACAAAGAGATACAATCGTGAAAAACGCCTTTGATAACTGGAATGATGTTATGGAGTTCAATGGAGAGTCCTTCTCTTGTTCAATGCAGAAGAAAAGCTCAAGCTCTTTTCCATCTCAAGCCTTACAAATTGAAAATTTCCCCCCTGTTCAATGTAAATTGACTCCACGGATCGGTGCCGCTCCAGGTGGTCCAGAAGCTCCTCCGTCAAATGGGGGCTTCAATGCTGAAGGTACGTGCTCTAAAACACAATATTTTCTCTCCCTATAAGCGCAGAGAAAGACGTGGCCTGTGAAATAACGAGGAATACAGGACTTCGTACTTGATTTTGAGCTTTAATAAATAAAACCAATGTGTTTCAGAACCTTATGATTTGGGTTCCACATAATATGAGGACGTTTATTTGTCCAGCTACCCTTCAATTGAATTTGCATCCAAGGAGATTTTACTAATTTTCCCCCCTCTTTGGCACTGATTCTTAAGTCATATGTTGAGGATTCCCATTTGTAAGTTAGGCTTTGACATATGCAACCAAAAATGCTCAGAAATAGTTTTACTATGACGAAAAAACAAGAGGAGTAGGTTAGGGCAGGTCACTACCAAAACCAGTAATCTAATTGATTATCAGTACAAAGGCAAAATGGCAATAATCAAGTATGTATGTGTTCTGTTCATTTGACCATTTATATATGTATGTATGTATGTGTTCTGTCCAAGCAATATAAAGGTTACTAAAAGATTAGTTTGTAACTTGTGCATTTTCTAGTGGGGGAATGGGGAGGGGGAGGGTAGATAGGCAAACATAAGTGAACATTGATCAGATATTGCTATCGCGAGATTGATATAGATAGATGCAATAAGCACACGGCAATGTGTTTATATGTGTATTTTCATTAAATGGTGACTGGAAGATCATATTAGAAAAGAAGGTTGGTTGGTTAAACTTATATGTGAGAAATTGAGATGTACAATGTTCAATTTGCGAGAAAATGGCCTTGTCAATTGAAGCTCTTCAAGATAACAAAGACCAATTGCCAGAAAAACTAAATAGATGTGCAGGGTAAGCAAAAATGGTAGCACTTTCCGTAACAGTGAAAGCTCATAACTGTTCCTTCCCAAAATTCTTTATAAGAATATAGACCTGTGCTCACGTCGGCCTCTGTTTACTAACCACACTAATGTTCTCGTTTCTTTCTCTAGGACATAATGGTACAATTGCTTTGGCATCGCCGGTACAGTTGAAAAATACCAATTCTGGAAATGCCATGAAGCTTTCAGTTGATGAAAGCGTTCATCTCGCTGCACAGCAACCCATATCAACAGACCCCTTGAATGTTCCAACTCCTCAGGGAGACAATGGTATATCTACAGTCGGATTGCCAATACAGTCCCATGGTAACAATTTCCAATATGCCATGCCGAGCCATACGATCCATTCTTCAAGCCAAATGAACTATACGGTGAGTGAGAATGTTTCCCCCTCTGAACCACCCTCTGCCGCAATATCAATCTCCCAATCTAGCAGTACACTTCCTCATCCTCAAGGCAATCATGTGGTGGAAGGTTACGAATCAATTGATTCAGATGATATTTTGGGGAACTTGTGGTCTGATAACCCAGCATATGATATTTGGTCGTTCCTTGGGAACCCATTATATGATGGTGGTTCTGTTAGAGGTACCGGCAAAGGTGTTAGTGGCTGGCTCAAGATAAAGGCAGTGATGCTGTGGGGTATCTTCATCAGGAAGATCGTCATGAAGAGACGTGGCATAATTGTGCAGTTAGATGAACCACGGATTGAAGTCTAGGCTTGATTTGATTTGTTCTTAATGTTGCATTAGGTAAGATGATTCTCTGTTTGCTGTCTGATAGAATCGATGGGATTCTTTTCTTGGATGAGGGCATAATAGTTACTTCATGTTTTTCATTTGTGTACAGAACAGCTTTGTTGGAACGCCTTCTCGATCGAATACTTTTTTCATCAGAAAGTCACTCTTCTTCAGTTCTTTCAACATCTTTTTTCAATAGTTCTCTGATTTTTCACATGTAAGGAATGCAAGGTATATCATTCACAGAGAGTACTTGCATTCTGCGCTTATTATTCATAGAAATCAATACCACGTCCATCGAGTCCTATGTATAAAGTCTTGCCTGTTTGCTGCTATCCACTGACAATAAAGCTATGTTCGGAACACGTACACCGTTAAATCATGATGCTGAGTTCCCTCGATATCCTCCGTTCATTCAGACTATTAGTTTAATATTGATGTAGAATTACAAATAAGCAACTACTGAAAAAGTAGCAGAAGTATATTCTACAAGGCTATGCGACAGCTCTAGATGGAGGGTTTAGCTTAGCCGAAGGTGTTTTGCGTGACCGTGACAGACACAAACCACGTTCTAACGTCTTCCTGGCCTTCTCTTCTTGATTTCTCAGTCCTTGAAAAGCTTATGTAAAACGGCTCGTGGATAGTTTCGATGGTATAAAAAGTAGTGTTTGCATTCCATGGTACAGGGAACAATCATACCGTGCATCGTCTTAAAAATGATGCTTTCATGGCAATACAAGATAACCGGTCTTCCTATTCCTCACTTGCACTCCACCTGGCGTGTTCTCTTTCCACCGTATGCACTTTATACTTTTGTGATTACTTCGGTCGAAACAGATCGGAGAAAATTTACACGAGTTCGATTTGACCTTTGAAATTAGTCATGATTTTGTTTGGCCAAATGAAAGTTAGTCATAGTCACTAGTCAGTATTTGTGTTGTCAAATCTGATATTGCAATTGTGAAGTGCTGCTCAATGTAGAGACCATTGTACTGACAGCCTTCTCCTAAGTCGACTCCCACCCACTTTCTTCAATTTTTGGTCTCTTCTCTCTCTTTTGGGCCATTTCCATCGAGTCCTAAGAATTAAGTCTCGCCTGTTTGCTGTTATCCACAGGCAAGAGAGCTATCTTTCAGAACACATACACTGCTATCCCTCGATATTCTCCATTCATACAGACTGTTATTTTAATAATGATTATGAGTTACAAATGATAATTAGTTCTACTTCTACTAAAAAAGTAGCATAAGTAAATCTTACATGATTGTACAACGGCTATAAATAGAGGGTTTAGCCAAAGGTGTTTTGGGTGACACACACAAATCGTCTTCTATCTTTTTGCTGGCCTTCTCTTCTTGTTTTCTCGGTCCTTGAAAATTGTAACTGTAATTTGTCCGAAACGAGCTCATGTAAGACGGCTCGCGGATAATTTGATTTAGCATGGGGTTTGCACTGGAATTTAATCCTTCTAATATAGGATTGAGTATCTAAATCTTTTATTTTAGGTGTCATTCCACAGTTCCTTTATGTCCTGAACTATTCACAGTTTGCTTTCAACTATCACCAATCTTCCATAGACTATCCAAATAAACCCAAAAAAGAGAAGTGTTTGCCTTCCATTGTACAGGGACCAAACATACTTTGCATGCGGTCTTTGAAATGATCCTTTCATGGCAATACAAGAAAACTGGTCTTCCTATTCCTCACTTGCACTCCATGTAGAGCATTCCCTTTTTCCAGCATGCAACATCTAGGTATAATTACCAAAAAGTTTTAAATCTATTATACATATGTCAATTTAGTCCTAAACTATTAATTTGACCAATTCAGCCATAAATATTTTAACGATTTGTTAATATAGTCCTTCCGATCATTTTTGGCTAGTAATCGTTGATGTGATCTACATGGCACGGCCGGTGCTGACGTAGATAATGTTTTTTATATTTTTTTAATAATTTTTTTCTTTTCTTTCTTTTTTTCCTTCTTCCTCCGCCGGTCGCCATAGCCAACGATCAGCCACAAGCAAGGGTCGAGTGGCCTCAAGCAAGGCTCCTAGCGAGGTCGACCCTTGCTAGCCTTGCCCAACCCTTGCCTATGGCTGGTCATCGGCCATGAAGACCGGCAGGGGAAAAGGAAAAAATTTAAAAAATTAATGAAAAATTAAAAAATTGCAAAAAAATTGTTAACATTAGTGCTAGTCATGCTCTGTAGGACAGTAGGCGTCCACGTCAAAGATTGACTACCAAAATTGGTTCATGGGACTATATTGATAACTCATGAAAATGTTTAGGACAAAATTAAGAGGTTTAGAAGTGAATTGGGATTTGTTCAATAGGTTAATGACTTTTTCTGTAATTTCCTGCAACATTTACTTGTGATTGCTTTAGTCAAAACAGATTTAAGAAAATTTACACGAGTTAGATTTGACCACTCATTCTAGTCATGGTTTTTTTCTGCCCAAATGAAAGTTAATTAGTCATAGTCTGCATTTCCGGTATCTAATCTGATGATGTAATAATAAAGTGGTGCTCAATTTAGAGACCATTGTAGTGACATGTGGCCTTCTCCTAAGTCGACACTTTTTTTTTCTGCCCACTTTTTTTTGCCCTTTTCTCTCTTTTCAGGACGTCGATTGCAACTCTCTCTCTATCATACGCCCTGTGCCTGTGGAACTATAAGGAGTTCGAGATGAATCACATTATAAGATTCCAGAGTATATAGGGCAGTTAATTTGACAGCGCGGTGCATTACGATGGGCATAGGTCACGGAATTACCAGAGTTGGATTTCGAGAAACTTTTTACTAGGGTCGGCGTCATATTTTACTACCAAAGTTAATTTGGGGATTATATGTAAGGAAAATTTGGTTTATGACAGTTGCAAGTTTAACCAACTAGATTGATTAAGAATCAATAAAAGCGAGGACTACAATTTATATCGATTGCCTTTTTTTCGGTCTTGTATACAGGAAATATGGCCATAATACCCGCAAGCGCGAGATGGGAAGTGTCATTCTTTGATAACCCATTAAAAACATAAAAAAAAAAGTTACAATAAGTTTGGAAAAAAAACATACTATGAAAAGAGATACATAGCATAAGGGAAGATTCTACTAGGCAAAAAAAAATGGAACATTGTAACTTTTATAATGTAATCGTACATAAATTATTGAGAGAAAGTAGTACGAAGTTCTGCTGTACACCTATTAGACATGTTTACACTTTTGTGATATATCTAATGTACAGCACAACTTTACGACGTGGAGCCGTAACTAAGTATAGAAATATTGTGCACATGGATCTATGATATTACGACATTTCGCCCATATTCAAACTTTAATTATCCCATCGTACAGTCAATGAAGGAGTTGGAAATCTGGTTTAGGAGGTGCGAGATTTCTAGCAAGTTTGAGTTGGACTTTTTAATCCCAAGTTTTTGGTAACAATTGTATCAAGTAATAACAACTTAATTAATTAATTAATTAATTAGACGAAAAAACCGAGATATTCATGAAAATATAATATCCAATCAAAATGTGAAAAAATAATGAGACTGTTTGTGTGGAAAAATGAAAAACTTGAACTTAGAATTAACTAAAAGAAGCATTGATATACAAAAAAAAAATTTAGAATATCTTAACTCTGAAGAGTTAAGTAGGGGACGATTCAACCTTATTTACATTGATCAAACCTCATGCAAGTATCCCAAATAGCATTGATGCTCCCTTGAGCGCCGGTCATGGTAGCTCGAGCTTCCTTGAGTTGTAGACTATGGATTACGGTAGCTAAGTTTTAACCTACTTTCTTTACGTGGTTCTCGAATTTTGAATTTGTAAAATCCGGTTCAAGATTTTTTACAATCAAGTCCCCTCGTCACCAATTTTCAAAATAATTGAATGTTATTTGTCTATCGATGCTGACCAAAGGCACGATATTCGAGTGATCGAGGCCACCGTAGAATAAGAAACTATACCACAGTAAATAAAAGCTACTGAAAATTTTCTTAGTGTGTCTTCAATTATGTTTCCACAACTTGGTTCACTCAAATCGATTATTCACTGTTGTGCCGACTTTTGCAGCATCATCTCTTTTGCTAGCACCGATAGACACGAGATGTTTGATTTGTTTGAATCACTGGCTATAGATTGTTTAATAAAGCTGAAAAATAAATGTTGAAGATTTCAGTTCTAAATTTTAAGCGTTGAAAATTTTAAATACCTAATATTTGAAAAATAAAGTTGTTTGGTGACAATTAGATAGCTGAATATGATCAAAATTCTTGCCAAAATATATGCGATAGTAAGCCATTTCACATTGGAGTTCGCGCTCCCTTTAGCATAGTTTATAATTGAAAGGAATTCTCCGATTACTCGATATCCGCGTTCGGTATTTTGACCCATAGTATCTATTAGTAGTTTATGTGGTAAAAAAAAAATCCCTCACTTATCATATTAGGTGGATTTTTTTTTACTTAATTGTGTCTTTTAAGTCAGATCCAAATTAAGCTTATCAAACAAGCTTAGCCTCGTTAATTGCCGAATATTCAATTTTCAGCGCTTAATTGGGTCACCAAATAGGCCTTAAGTGACTTTATTAGAAAATTTTCGCAGGTTTAATGATTTGATTGCACAAATTGTAAGTTCAAGGCCACATGAAAAAGCAACGGATGGAGATTATGAGACTGTGTGATAAAATTGAAAATTAAGTGCTGAAAATTTAAGTACTGCATTTTATGGTGTTGATTATGTTCCGTCCCAAAAATAGGAATAAAAGGTTTTATGATAATTGAAAATCGATAGTTGAATATTATGAGTCCTTAACAAGCATAGAAAAATGATGGGATAATTATCATGATCAATTTAGTTCTAAATTGTTTAATTTGACCAATTTAGCTGTAAAATTTCAATTTGACCCATTTAGTCCTCTACCTTTTGAAAATTAGTCAATATAGTACTTTCAGCCAAAATTAGTCAGAAATCGATAACTTGTATATCGGCCCTCCTACGTGACATGGCTAGCACGATGTGGACAATTTATACAATTTTTTTTTAAAATTCTTTTGTGCCACGTAAGATGGCTGACGTCAATGACATCGATTACTAGCCAAAATTGGCCGAAAATACTACATTGTCAAATCTTCAAAAGGCTTATGACTAAATTAACCATTGTACAGTAAGTTTATGATTTTTTTTTGGGTAGTTTTCCCGAAAAAAATGACTATCATTAGTAGGTTTCATCACTATATTTGGCAAGATTTTGGATTACCAATAATTATTTTTAGTTTGGACGAATTAAGTAACTCCTCTTTTACTTACTAGATAAATTGGATTTTTGAATAAACCTAATCACGTAAGTCAATTTTATTTAAAGTTAGCAAGCAAGTTTAATCTCGTTAAACCGTCGAGTATCTTAATTTTTCGGCACTTAATTCGGTTATCACACGAGCCCAGTACTTTTCACTTTTGAAATCCCCTACGGGTCCGATCATCCCCCGGTCCATGCTCGTCTAAGAATTCGTAAGTCGACCCGGTCCGATCCCAGCACTCAATCGGAAGCAAGATGAATTTTCCAGGAAAATTAACAGGGATTTACCTGATTTTCCCGGAAAATTACCCGTGTCAGTCACGCCACTGTCTATATGTCGCGCTCCTCCCTCTCTCTCTCTCTCTCTCTCTCTCTGCGCGACACACAGGTGCGCGTACACACGACGTCGTCGACAACAACAAGAAGAAGCAGCCAAACTTGCGAGGAGACTCAAGTAGGTGAGAGCACGTACGTTCTTTTGCTCATCGCACGTCTGACGAGGCGTGAAGCATTTTCCTGGAAAATTACCCCAGGAAACCTGATTTTCCCGGAAAATTGCCCCCGTCGGTCATGCCCCTGTCGGTCATGCCCCTGTCTAGATGTCGTTCTCCTCGCTCTCTCTCTCTCTCCGTGACCCGCACATGCGCGTACACACGATGACGACGACGACGACGACGACCAGTCACAAACTTGCGAGGAGACTCGAGCCGGCGAGAGACAAAGTTCGTCCGCCACGACGAGACCAAAGAGAGCGACGGATGGATGCTTCTTCCCGCTGAACAAAGTCACAATTCGAGAAGATGTATTAATGTTTGTGACGTTGCACTGCGTGATCGGAAATGTGATTGTTGTGCTAGTGCTATGTGCTGCAAGATCGATACAATTCCCGCGCCGTTCGCGATTTTTCGGGCTCATCCAATTTGTTACGGTTTTCGAGTTTTGCGCGCGAGGAAGCTCGGTCGAGTCGCGTGGAGAGCCAAACGGGATGCGGCTCCCCATCGTAGGTTTGCTCGAGTGAAGGCTGTTATAAATGGGATCTTACGAGAAGTCCCGTTTCGATCGGTTCGCGGTGGCGCTACGAAATTTTGTCGTGTCGTACTTGTTCGGCGAAAGGTTTTGGATTAATACCACGAAAAATCCTAAAATGGTACAGCTGTGACAATTTTACCCAAAATTATTTTTTTGATCATAAAAAACCCTAAAGTGGTACACCTGTGATAAATTTACTCCGAACTATTTTTTTGACCACCGAAAACCCCAAACTGGTATACTTGTGACAATTTTACCGGAACTAATTTTTAATTTTTAATTTTATTTTTTCGAATTTTTTTATTAATTTTTTTTCTTTTTTTCCTTCATCTTCTTTATCTTCGACCTCTGGCTGGTCGCCGAACTGACGAGGTCGAGGCGAGGGGCACAATTTCAAATTTTCACTAAAATTTGGGGCGATTTTGTCGAATAATTTCGCGTTCTCGTCACACGGACGTCGCCCGTTTTCCGTCACACCGTGTGACGGGAACGCGTAAGAGGATAAGCTCGAGCTCGAAGCTTTGGCCACGTACACGCCAGAAAAGCCAAAAGCAGCCTCTGGCGGTGACCTTGACAGAAGTCAACCGAGTGGGCCCCACCTCACCGAGCTAAAAACCTTATAATAATTTAATCCCTCTACCATGTAATAGTATTCCACACGCATTCTCTCTTCTTCTTTTTTTTCCTCTCTTTTTTTTAAAAAATTTTTGATTTCCATTGAAATTAGTTCTCTTCGTAAAATAACTAAATAGTTCACGCCGTCGAAAAATTTTATCCACGCAAATAAATTTCCGATTTTTGAGGAACTTTCAGTTTCACAAAACGCTTAATTTTTGTTCATGCTTGTCGTCCAAATAAAATACACGAATTCGTTTCCTTTAATATTAGTAGCCAATTTAAGTAAAATCCTCCTTTAAAAGTATACACGGCAAAATGCATGCGGTATATAAACGGATGTATATGATCATTTTGCTCAAAAGTATGTTGAAAAAGTTCGGCATTATTATAATTGAATCGTAAAATGATGTCATCATGATTTTGCTTCAATTGTATTGTAAACGGGAAATATTTACATATCAAATCAAGCAACAGTAAATCTCTTTGACATCGTCAGTTCGATATATTGTACACACATATATATATATATTCTAAATATATAATTATAATATGGATTCATTAGTTGTTACAATGTATAAGTTACAATTGCGTGTGATTAGAAGCGATTAAGTGAATTTTCCTCTCGGTTGTTGAAAGCCATGCGTAGATAACTAATCTTAGAGCATGTCACCCATTGATAAGAGATCGGGTCGACAAGATTTAGCTTAAACTCATGTTAAAGGCAAAAATAGTTCAATTATTAAATAGACAAAAGCGGGCTAATAGGCCTAGTAAAGGGATTGGGAGGTTCAATTATTAAACAGACAAAAGCGGGCGAATAGGCCTAGTAAAGGGATTGAGAGGTGAGGAAGCTAGTATCATAGATACGAAATTCGATTCCTGCGCTCTATAAGAGACAAATAAAAAATGTGAGAGTGAGGTGAGTCGGTGATATGAATGACAAAAAAAAGAAGAAGGCAGAAGCGGGAAAGAAAAAAAAGAAAAGAAAAGAAAACACAAAAAAAAAATTTTGTACATGCAAATTAGTAAAATCGGAGAAAAGGAAAATTTCTAAAATCCGCAACGTTTCCCGGAAATGTACACGAGGTCACTTTTCTAGGAAATGCATGTGCCTTTCTCCTTCATGGCGTTGTACAAAACGGGACGCAATCCAATGATTACTACAAGTTCATCACTTTCGAGTTCGAGTTCGAGTTCGTAGATACTGCTGTCTGATTCCTTTGTCTGCTACTTTCTTGCGGCGACCCAACACTCCCCTAGATTCCGACACTTTCCCCTGTTTCTTGATAAGCTCCCACAGAAGAGCAGGGGAAGATCGCGTCCATGGCGAAGAGAGCTTCGACCTCCTCTTCTTCGGGTCAACCAAGTCAACCCAAGAGGCGATACCTCGCTCCAACGGGGTAAGTTCGATGATCGTGTTCGTTTTAGCTTTGCTTGTGGGAAATTCAGTGAAGGGTTCTTGAGAGTCGAAGGTTCTTGAGATGAGAGGTACGGGGAAGCATGCGTTGAGGTATGACGTTGATTAGCTTTTGCCTCATGACTGTTCTAGATCGCTTTCGTTCAGTGTTTTGCTTGTGGGGTCTGTGCTGTGGCTTCAATGTGAAGTATGAAAGACCCCACAATGTTGTCGTCTCGAATCTGTTATGCGGTTTCGCGTTGGCCGATCGCAGTACTTCCTCCTTGTTCCGATTAAACTCCGTTAAGGTTTTTACCTAGCAAGTGAGCTGTTGTTGTTGTCAGGTTACTTTGCTGTCCTGTTTGCTTAATTATCCTATCTTGCTTGTGTTCTTGTGCTGATCTTCACGCAGTCAAGTACGGAATGGGCCCGAGAGGAATCTTGTGCCGGGGAGCTGTTCGACGGAGGAGGATGGCCAGAGAGTGGTAAGATGAGTAAAGTAGCCAACTTGGACATAGAAAATACAGTCTTCATTGTATTTCAGTTGCTGATCTCTTTGATTAGAAGCGGTTGGATGCATTTCTGACCTTCCAGTCAGTTTCCTGATAGAAATCCGCATTAGAAATTGCTGCTACATGTATAGAGAAGTATCGTTTCAGTGGTAAAAATGACCTTCTGACTGTTCTAGGCTTTTCCTGTGAAGTAATTCCACTAAGAACATGATTAAGGTTTTTCATGTCGTTTGGGACAGATGGATCACGAAAAGACACAAATTTTTCAGTGAAGTGCCTTGGACATAATTGTCTGCTTGAATCTTGGAAAATGTGGTCTATGACTATTTCAATTTGCATGTAGAAGGAGGACAATAAAGACACCTGTGATGTAAAATGAATACATGAGAGATTTTTCTTGCAATGTAATTCTTCACTATTACTCTTTGCTGGACAGTGCGGAAAGGAGCCAGAACGCGCGAAATCTCACTCGGCCGAATATTGTCAAAGGTGAATATATCTCATTTGGTTTGTAGGTAGTGTCTTATCCGCAACAATTAATTCTTCTAGAAGAATTTCCATGTGTATTGTCTCGCCAACTAAAAATATCATCGATTATCATATGCCATCAATCCATGAATCTGTTCGGCAAAGTGTAATACCTGCACATACATTTTTTTGTTAATCACTAAAAGGACGGTGCATTTGGAGATAGCTGCTAATTAACTTTACGTGCTTCTGTAAGTACCAGCTAGATATGTATTCCAACTTTACATTGACTTTTCTGTGGTGCCTTAGATTAAGAAAATGCATTTGATGAGTCCGATATCTATCTTTTTATATGGTAATTAGGTCTGACATTCATTTGTACAAGTAACTAATATGTTCCATATAGATATTTGTCTATTTGTTACGAATAAGTACACAAAACAGCAGTTGTTCACGGTGTCAATTTTCATGGTGTAGTTGCACTGGGAATGCTCTCAAAGATATAGTGCGACAGATGCATTCAATGGAGAATTCTATTCCAAAACTGGTAAGACAAACAGAGTTAATAAAATTTTCACTTTGTCAATGACCATTTGAATGTAGAAGGAGGAAAATGAAGATAATTATCTCCTTGAATCCTGGAAAATGTGGTCAATGACCATTTGAATGTAGGAGGAGGAAAATGAAGATACCTGTGATGTGAAACTAGAATGCGATGAATACGTGACAGATGATTCTTGCTTATGTAATTCTTCGCTATTGCTTTTTTGCTGGACAGGTCAGAGAAGAGCTGGAGCGTTATAAACCTGAGTGGGCTGAATTAGTTCAAAGGTGAACTGATTTCTTTGTTGGCAGCATCTTATCTGCATGAACTGATTTCTCTAGGAGAATTTCCATGTGTATTTTCTCACCAACTAAAAATATCATCTGAGTACTAATGCCATAAATCCAAAATTCTGTTCGGCTAAAACTCATACTGGCGCATATTTATTCCTGTTAATCACTGAAAGGACGGTGCATCTGGAGAGCTGCTAGTCAACATTACTTGCTTCTGTTACGTTGACTTTTCTATGTCGTGTTAGATTAAGGGAATGCATTTAGAGTCTGGTATCTATGGTTCTATACAGTAATTAGGTCTGACATTCATTTGTTCAAGTAACTACAATGTTCATGTTTTTTTGTCTATTTGTTACAAATAAGTCCACAAGACAGTAGTTGTTCACGGTGTCAATTTTTATGGTGTAGTTGCTTCCGGAATGCTCTCAAAGATATAGTGCCACAGATATGCTCAGAGAATGATTTTCATAGATTGGTAAGATAAACAGAGTTCATAAAATTTCCACTTTGTCTCAGACATATCTTCATCAACGCTTTAGATATGAGTTGTTTATCTGCATGTCATGAAGTGATCGAGTGAACTTACTAATTGCTTTATTCCGACGGTTTTAACAGCGTTCATTGAGAATTAACTTTGCACAATATCCTTTGTCTGTAAATAAATATTCATTTTGTTGTGCGACCTGTGGAAAGAAAAACATGGGAAGGCCTACTTTCCATACAAGTCTGTTACAGCATAATGTCCCACATGTGTAGCCGAAATTGAGGTGCCAAACCTTGTCAACTCTTGGGGAAGCTCAGCCTGTTATGCCTAGAGAAACTTTTATCAGTTAAGTGACGGGCCTTCCACTCAGTACCATCCGCTTACTAAGGCCAACTTCCGTCCCTGCTCGACGGGAAGAACGGGAGATCCTTTTGAACAACCTGTTATAATAGGAAAGCCTTATATCTTCAAATAGGAGATCCTTTTGTGCAACGTATTACGATTCACCAGCCAAGTTCTAATAGCCATGTTTTGACATATTAGGCTTAAACCATACAAGCCTAAGCCAAGTCACCTTGTTCCCCCATTTCCTTGCTAGCTTCCAAGCCTCCTTTACAGAGAAAGAGCCCCTAGATGATCCAGTAAATACCACTTCGTTTACAGAGCCAGAGGTTGGAGCAATCAACCCACACAAAGCCATCTGAGTTTCAAGCAGATCATCAGGCCTTGCTGGAGGCCATCTCCATTCATTTTCCTCAATAACATTTTCAACTGTGGCTTTATCACCTAAAGCTAAATCATAACCATTCTAAAGCAAGTGAAATTTTTTTCATGGACATGGAATGGAGGGGGAAAATGAAAATGCTTAGGATTGTTCATATTAGTTTTATAGACAACTGCTGTTTGGTAAAAGACTGTGATTTCAAATGTGCGTGAAGAACTTAGCTCAATAAGGTGTTCGATAAGTTTTTTTTTAAGAAGGAACAACAGAATAGAGTTTTCAACTTCTTTTGATGGAATGGATTGGTTTTGTATCCCTTCTGCTTCATTTTTTTGATGTCTCCAACTTTGGCAACCCTGCTGTTGGTGGTGTTGAACAGAAGGAAGCAGTGGAGCCTGCAAACAGTGACTCTCCCCACCTTGGAAGGTATGAATGCACTTCCCTTTGATGCTGTTGAAAAAGGCTGTCTGTGTAGTATAGACCGGTTATGCATTGTTGATGTTTTGGGAATAATTGTCCGACCCACCACTACTACCCCACAACAGGCAGTCAGAGCTCAGCGAGTGTCTGGCCACAAGGACTTATCATGCGCCAAAGTGTCAACGCTCCGATTTAGAATATAACTTTTATAGCTTAAGAGCTGTGGAGCATTGTTATTATTTTATCTCTTTATAAATTTTCATTATTAAGCTCTCTTAGACAACGGATCTATTTATCCTTGTAGTTTCCCCGGCAGTGAGACTTGTCCAAGTGAGATGTTTGGTAGTTTGTCTATCTTTATCGGTACTTCTTCGATTTTCTGCTTCCATATCTGTTCCTGTTTCTAATGGTTGTTTTCTGGTGAGAATGTAGGGTTAATGCTAAATCTACGGCAAACAATGGCGAGAGAAACTTACTGCTTCAACTTCAAACGAAACTGTCACTTCCTCTATTTACTGGAAAGAAAATAGAAGGAGAGGAGGGTGCTCGCATTTATGTTGCCTTGATCGATGCGAACACAGGGGATGCCGTTACATCAGGCCCGGAATCCTCCATTAAGTTGGACGTTGTCGTGCTTGAAGGCGACTTCAACAAGGACAATCAAGATAACTGGGCTCAAGAAGAGTTCGAGAAGTACGTGGCTAAAGAACGTGCAGGAAAGGGGCCGCTTTTGACAGGAGATCTCCTTGTGACGCTCAAGGGAGGTGTTGGGGGGCTGGGTGATCTGATATTTACCGACAATTCCAGCTGGAATAGGAGTCAAAGATTCAGGATAGGGCTTAAGGTGGCATCGGGTTATTGTGGGAATACACGAATCCAAGAAGCAGTAACAGATGCCTTCCGAGTCAGGGAACATAGAGGAGAATGTAGTTCCTTCATAGTCTTTTTACAGTACATAAACCTTGTCCATAAACATGGTTTTGGACGTCCATAGTCTTCAATTTTTCAATTGAGTGCTTCATTTTGTATTGACCTTTATATCAACAACGAAAACTCTAATAAATAAGAAACATCAGCTTCTTGGTTATTGGCAAATGTTGACAATTTGGATAGGAGAGAGTTTGCACGCCTATCAGAAGTTTGCTTCAACTCATTAATCTAATAGTGACTGGAATCTTATGGTATATGTTCTCTTCATTTTACAGTGTACAAGAAACATTATCCACCAGCATCTGACGATGAGGTCTGGAGGTTGGAGAAGATTGCCAAAGATGGGAAGTCTCTCCATAAACTGAGTGATGCCGGAATACAAAAAGTGGAGGACTTTCTACTACAACTGTTTACGGACTCCAAGAAACTGAAAGAGGTAAGCACTTAATGATTCTCAATTTAGGGTTTGATTGGCCACCAAGAATGTAATTCTTGTGTTTTCACTCATTATAGATTCTTGGAAAGAGTATAACATCAAAGAGCTGGGACATCCTCGTAAATCATGCAATGACTTGCAAAACAAATTGGAAACTTTATTTGTACTATCTTGATGGCACGAGGAAGCATGGTGCTGTATTCAACACTGATAGTCAACTGATCGGCCTAATCAAAGACAGAGTATGTTTTGCTACTCATCGACTTTCTGCTCAAGAGAAGGTAAGTAACTAAGTTCCTACTGCGTTTTGTCTAGCCAGTTCATGTGCAACACACCATCATGCTGAATTCATATAATTTGTCTCGCAAAATTTATGTAATCAGTAATTTGTTGTTTACTTGTATCTGTGAGACATGATAGGTAGAATTGATCAGAGATGGAAACTTGAAAGAAGGAGTTGGTTGGACATCTAGTTGAATTTTTTTCTTGATCAAGTAATATGAAGTGCTCTGACCAAAAAAAAAAGGTAATATGAAGTGCCTGTGGAGAGAACAAATAGATAACCTGGACGCTTTGTTTAGATCCATAATAGAGACTAGTGATTTGAGCTTTTGCTCTTTGCAATGAAAAGTTGATGATAGTGACCCTGTAAATCCAAGTGGCCTTCTGTACTCCCGTAGTTAAAATTATACAAAAAAAAGCCTAAGTTAGAAAGCACTTTCAGCAGTTGATTCAGTGTCATCCATTAAAATCTGAGGCGCTCATCATTATATTGTAGTTTGAACAATTAACACATTCACATTGCAACTATTGCTTTCCAAGTTTAAAACTATGAAGATCTTAATTACTTGCACAACACAAGTTGATGCGTGTGTTATGTCTTCACTGGTGCTTTCTCAACTTTGCACCTTTAACCTGAGGACCCTTGCCTTGATTGTACTCTCCATTACATCTTTCGAGCACCTGACTTTCATGTGGTGATGCTAAGTGGATATTGACAATTAAAAAGCGAATTGAGGTTCTTTCAATGCGGTTTTTATTCTTCTTTCTCTGTGCTGCACTTACGTACTTACTCTGAATACAAGTTCATCTGTTGGAATGTAACATTACTTGCTGAAAAAAGAAATTTTTGCTCGAAGTTAGAGCGTGTACCTTCAATACTGGAGATAAATACTTCCATTAGTCCAGCTTGAGGGATATACTGAGTGTTTTGCTTATAGGAACATGGAGATACAATCGTGAAAAAGGCCTTGGATAACTGGAATGATGTTAGGGAGTTCAATGGTGAGACCTTTTCCGGTTCAATGCAGAAAAAAAGCTCAAGCTCTTTTCCATCTCAAGTCTTTGAAGAACAAGTTGTAAATCTCAACCCTGTTCAACGTAATTTGGCTCCACCATTCTTTGTCACTCCGGTTGGTTTGGAAGCTCCTCTGGCAAGTGCGATCTCCAATGCTGAAGGTACGTGCTCTAAAACACAAAACTATTTCTCCCTTTAAGCACATACAAAGATGTGTCTTGTGAAATAACGATGAAAATAGGAATTTCCACTTGATTGCTAAACTTTGGTTCCGGATCCTTATGATTTGAGTTTCACATAATACTAGGAAGTTTCTTTGTCGAGCTACCCTTCAAATGAACTTGCATCCAAGGAGATTTTACTAATTTTGGCCCGTCGTTGGCACTGCCCCATAAGTAATATGTAGAGGATTCTCTTTTGTAATTTAGGCTTTAATGAGTCTCTAGATTCAACCAAAAATGCTCAGAAATAGTTTTTATGATGACGAACAAAAAGTAGGAGTAGGTTTCTGCAGGTCACTACCAAAGGTAATCTAGTAGATATCAGTGCAAAGGCCAAAGGGCAATAATTGAGTACTTTATGTTATTCAATTTAAGAAATGCAACTTCAATCTGGACATGAAAGATATATGAGCTGAAGTATCAAAATGACCCATAAGGACATGCAATGTGGAGAAAAGTCAATATCCAATACTAATCATATACAAAAAGATACTCTCTGTAAGCTGTGCTTGTTGCGAAATGAGCCTCATTCAATATACTCTATCCATTCGACCTTATATGTACGTAAGTACGTTTGTATATCTATGGGCTCTGTCCAAGCAATTAAAAAGCAACTAAAAAAATTAGGTGGTAACAGGTACCTTCTTGAGTAGGGGATTGGGGGAGGGGGAGGGCAGATGCTCATAACACTTCACTTAGGTTATGCTAAGTGGATATTGACAAAATATTGCTATCACTAGGTAGACATGAATAGATGGAATAAGCACACAGCAATGTGTTTATGTGTGCGCTTTCATCAAATGGTGACTGGAAGATCTTATATTAGAAAAGAAGGTTGGTTAAACTTAAATGTCAGAAATTGAAAAGGGCCTTATCAATTGAAGCACTTAAAGATAACAAGGACCAGTGGCAAGAAAAACTAAAGAGATGTGCCGGGTAAGGAAAAAAAATTTGTAGCACTTTCCGTTATAGTAAAAACTCATAACCATTCATTCTAAAATTCTTTATAAGAACGTTGATCTGTGTGAACGTCGACCACGGTTTACTAACCACACTAATGTTTTAGTTCTTTCTCCAGGACATAATGGTGCAACTGCTTTGGCATTGCCAATAGAGTTGCCAAATACCAATTCTGGAAATGCCATGAAGCTTTCGGTTGATGAAAGTGTTCGTCTCGCTGCGCTGCAGCCCATATCTACAGACCACTTGAATGTTCTAATTCCTCAGGGAGACAATGGTATCCCTACAGTCGGATTGCCAATGCAGTCCCACGGTAACAATTTCCAATATGCCATGCAGAGCCATACGATCCATTCTTCGAGCCAAATGGGCTACACAGTGAATGAGAATGCTCCCCCCTCTGGACCACCCTCTGCCGCGATATCAAGATTCCAATCTAGTGCTACACTTCCTCCTCCTGAAGGAAATCATATGATGGAAGATTTGCAACCATTTGTCTCAGATGATATGGATTATTGGTTGGCTTTGTTAAGTCAGAGCCCACCACATGATGGCGGATCTGTTAGAGGTACCAGCAAAGGTGTTCATGGCTGGATCAAGTTAAAGGCAGTGATGAAGTGGGGTATCTTCGTCAGGAAGATCGCCACGACAAGACGTGTCGGAATTGTGCAGTTAGATGAACCGCCGATTGAAGTCCAGGCTTGATTTGATTCATTCTTAATGTTGCATTAGGTAAGATGATTCTCCGTTTACTGTCTGATAGAATCGGTGGGATTCTTTTCTTAGATGAGAGCATATTAGTTACTTAATGTTTTTGAATGCCATCTCTAGAGAATACTTATTTCATCAGAGAGTCTCTTTACTTCAGTTCTTTCAACATGTTTCTTCAAAACTTCTTTGATTTTTCACATGTAAGGAATGCAAGGTATATCATTCAAAGAGAGTACTTGCATTCTGTGCTTATCATTCATTGAAATTGACCCCACGTCCATCAAGTCCTATGTATAGAGTCTTGCCTGTTTGCTGCTATCCACGGGCAATAAAGCTACGGTTCGGAACAGATACACCATTCATGATGCTAAGTTCCCTCAATATCCTTTATTTATTCAGACCGTCAGTTTAATATTGATGTTGACTTACAAATCAGTAACTACTGAAAAAGTAGCAGAAGTATATTCTACAAGGATATACAACAGCTATAAATGGAGGGTTTAGCTAGGACGAAGGTGTTTTGCGGGACAGACACTAACCATGTTCTATCGTTTTCCTGGCGTTCTCTTCTTGTTTTCTCAGTCCTTGAAAAGTTCATGTAAAACAGCTCGTGGATAGTTTCGATGGTATAAAAAGTAGTGTTTGCTTTCATGGTACAGGGAACAATCATACCTTGCATAGTCTTTAAAATGATCCTTTCATTGCAATACAAGAAGCATCATGGCAATACAAGAAAACTGGTCTTCCTATTCCTCATTTGCACTCCACCTGGAGTGTTCTTCCACTGTATGCAATCTATACTTTTGTGATTACTTCAGTCAAAAAAATATCTGGGAAAATTTACCGTGGGTGGATCCCAAAGGGAATCTAAAGTCATAGTATTTGTGATACCAAATCTAATAGTGCAATGGTAAAGTGGCGCTCAATGTAGAGACCATTGTAGTGGCATCCTTCTCCTAAGTTGACACCCATGCACTTTCTTCAATTTTTGGTCTTTACTCTCTCTTTTAGGCCATGTCCAACTCCATTTTTTTTTTCATTATTTTCTTTTCCTTTGCAAAATTGCTAAAATAAGCAATGACCCTCTCCTAAATTGACACCTATTCGCTTCTTTTTTGGCCTCTTCTTTCCAGTACTCATAAATTTTTCATAATTTTCTTTCCTTTTTCCATTTCCCATGATTATTTATTTTGTATATCCTACTTAGCATACATGAATTTCAGCATTCAAAGGTAACGTTCATTAGTCAATTACGCCATGTGAACCCTTCAACCCAAAGTATAAATAATCCAAACCAAACATTTGGTTCTCTTACACATGAAAATAATAAACATATACAGATGAAGCAAAAGCTCGGCACTATCGAGTAGGTCTCAGAGCTTGCAGCAATACCAGAAGACAGTTACCACCAGATAGAAGCCATGGGTCAGCATCTGTCAGTTGATTCTATCTAACTCAATAGATATTTAGTTACCTTCTACTCCATTTTTCTCTTCGACAAATGCCCACCTAGCAGAAAAGGCACATGGCAGGTATAAATTAACACTCTCCAGGAAGGGTGGAGCCGAAAAGCTTCAGTCAGAAAGCCCACATGCATTGCTTCTCACACCAATGTCTGCAGCATTGAGGATTAGACGTCCACCCACAGGAGCAACACAAGCATAACCACCACAAATTCACAAACAGACCGTCATTCTGAATCAGAGATTTCATCTTCATCCTCATCCAGTATGTAGACCAGGGCCCGCTTTCTCGCAGCCAAAACACAAGCCACACCTCTACTTGCTGTTGCCAAAAAAACATCAACTTGATTTCACTCTGACGTTCCTTTGGTATGATATAAGTAAAAGTACAATACTTGCATTGTGCTAAAACACAGGAGGGAAGCAATCCTCGTGAAACTAAAGAGGCTATGGTATGCATGTAAACTAGGAATGCTCTGCAGTATCTTGCTATACTAGCTACCATGTAGTATCTATCATCATGAACATGTACACACCAGTTCTCAGTCAGTAAGTCAGATGGCATTGTACCTACCGTAAGAAGATATTATTCTTATTATACTTGTCTGGCCACTAAAGATTCATCTTTTTCACACCTAGGCCTCTCAATCGATTTGAAATTAGGGGAAATCCCAATACTTTAGTGTTTTCCTTCTTCAACCGAAAAGATGTTCTTCTTTGGAGCATAAATTTGCACTTCTTTAAACCGTAGTAACAAACGTGAACTGTTCCCTTAAAGAGGCACAATGTACCTATGCCAGTCATATGTAAACCTAAGAGTAGGTTAAGTGGAAATGTAGTAAGGAGCATGGACAGGATTAATTCAGTTCCACTGGCCAGTCAACGAGATAAATTTGTTACCGACACTGGCAAGTTTATCAGACATTGATACAGAAAGGAATTAGTATGGGCAACAATAAGTTTCATCACATCCAAAACTGCAAATGGACATGATAAGAAGCTCAAGGAAAAAAATTTCAGGACTATACAATTGATGGCCTGGCAATGTGTCCTTACCACGATAGTATGAAGGTGTCAAAAAAAATCTTACCACTAACTGAGAAGGGAGGAACTACATTGCGGGGAACGCTGCCAATCTTCTCATTCTCCATCTCCAGGTGTAAGATGGAGTCCCAGATGCGTAGTTTCACAAGGTTAGTGTTTCAGAAGTGAGAATAAGATAAGCAAGCAAAAATGTTCTCACAAAATAGAAGCAAAAATGGCGTGAGATACTCCTTAACGTACTTACAAGCACAAGGCTCCAACCGTCAAGAATGTTGAAACTTTTGCAGTTATGGAGTAAAACATCCTTCAAATATTTGCAAGCGTGAAATGGCATCTACATGCACATAGGAGGAAAAACCTAAGCTGCTACTCCTTGTGCCGATGAGGAGAGCATATAAATAATAAATAGGAAGAACACAAAACAATTTTATTTCAAACCGGTTAAAGCGATTGCATGTTACATCACTTGAGAGAGCACTCTACGTAGATTAGATCACACATGTTCAGAACAAAAGAAGCCCTGGTGAGTTGGCAGAGCCCGCTTGAGCATTAAAAGGCTGTCTTCGAGTTCTCGAGAGCATCGTTCAATTCTCTAGTAGATTAAGCCAATACCGCCAATAAATGAATTATCCACCACAAATTGAAGCAAGAAGACACCGGACCAAACGGTCTGCGCGCTTAGTAGTTGCAAGAGGTTGGAGTTCCGAAACCCCAACCCCAGCTCTAAATACTCTTCCTTTCCAGTAGACTTTCGAGCACTGCACCTCTATATTCACCAATCCTCCATCGAAGGCAATTCGAACAAGATTGGCAATTACGGTGGTTCCTATGGCGAAAAAGGAGATAAGGCCAAAGCCTCAAAGGGCACACGCCAAGCCATCGTTGAAGAAACGAAAAAGCTGAATGAAAAAAAGAGAGCTTTCTCGAACAGAAGCAATACCCAGGAGAGACTGTCCACGGCCTCTACCAATTAAAGCGATGAAGCACCCGCCTTCGAATCCTCTGTGACCATGGCCAGCAAACCCTTCTCCGGATTCCACTCACGCCATCTTCACCTGCCGCCAATCGGAAGAAATCGAGCACAAACCTCACGACACCGATGTCGGAGCAATCCAATCGACCGCCCCCATTAGGTCGTGAAAAGGACGGCCGAAACGGGAGCCGAAACCCGAGAAGCCAAGCGGTTTGTCGAACTGAAATCGAAACAGAAGCACGCGCCGCCGATCCTTCGCCGTCGGTCTCCCGTAGCGAAAGAGCTCCGTCGAGCAGCCGATGACGCGGCAGCACCGGCAGCTGCCGGAGCAAATCGCGGGGGAGTGCACGGAGGCCGGCGACGGAAAATGCGAACCGAGAGAAAGCGAGCTCGCGAAGGGGGCAGAGATCGAGGACGATGGTGGGAAAGCTCGAGGCTATTTAGGGAAAATTGCAAGAGAGGAACAGGCGGGAAAGAGAGAGAGAGATTTGATTAACGGGCGGGCCGGGCCGGGCCGATCGGGCCATACGTCGGGCTTAACTTGCTCTCCGGGCTCGACCATCATGAAAAGGCGCGCGTGATTTTTCGCAACGGGCCACCACGGGCTCAAACGGGCCGGGCCAGGCCGGACTTTTATAGATGAATGACCTCATCAAACAACGCCCAATGGTTGAGAAGACGGACTGGCTCGAGCTCGATAAAGCTATTCGCTATCACCAACCAAACTTCGAACGACTCGATCGAGCACGCCTTGATGTCTTTTTGATAATGCCTGAACATATTTGATTGCATTAGCATGTATCTCCTTAAAAAGCTGAGTGATATGATTTATTCGATGTATTTTTTGGACTTTTCTACCGTATTTTGGCTTGTTTCCTAACTTTTTTTTTTTTAGTCGAAACTTGTTTCCTAACTTAATTTACTGAGTTAATGAGGTTACTGATAGGATAGTCTGGAGTTTACTTGCTTAAAAAAGATCTATTAATTTTACCTTTTATTGCTAAGAAGAAAATACAAGTTAATTCAACCAAATCATCTGTTTTATATGTATTTCAATTTTAAAGATCAATACGAACAAAAATAAAAGAGCATCATAGTTCAAAGATTCAATTGGTCAAAAAGAGTTCGGATTGAACATTCAACAAACAAAATTCAATGAACCATTTCTTTAGACATTGAATTGAACGAAATAAATTGTCTATTCAATCTAAAAGAAAAATTTGCATGGAATTAATGCATGCACCAGCCAAGCTTTTTGTTTTTCGGTTTCTAGTCCATCTAAATTACTAAATGTGATTGATTCTTACTAATTTAATGGAAACAAAGGCTACAAGGTCTATATGGTCGTAGGTCTATTGTAAAAGGCGTGAAGGTTCACGCTTTAGAATTTTTCAGTTGAGATGAAAGAAAATTCAGGCAAGCTCATGCACATCATAAGATTCGAAGTTTTAATTCAGGAAATACTAAGTTGGAAAATATCAGTTTATTAAAAGCAAACTTGGGGTGGGGGCAATTAATTTGGATATTGTCACGATTTAAATTTTAAATGATAATTGAAAAAATTATATCTAAATAGGAAATAGGATTATAAGAAATATTAGAATATCTCCTTTCAATCGAAGTAGGCAATAGGAATTTTTGGGAACTTCTTGCAAGACGACCCTAAACTAGTGAATATAAAATTCGAGGGGGGCTTCAACGGAGAGAGAAGAGATAGAGCAGGGAAAGAGAAGACAAGAAGCAAGCACGCTCTTGCTGCTGCTGCCGTTGCTGCCGTTGCTGCTGCTGTTAGAAACCGACCTCCTCGAAGAAGGAAGAAGATGCCGGAGGAAGGACTGACCCACCACCACCGCCGGGAGGACTGCACAGACCGGCCGCCAGCTCCTCTCGTCGATATGGCCGAGCTCAAGCTCCCGTCCTTCTACCGAGCCCTCATCGCGGAGTTCGTGGCCACTCTCCTCTTCCTCTACGTCACTGTCGCCACCGTTATCGGCCATAAGAAGCAGGCCGGGCCTTGCGACGGCGTTGGTGTCTTAGGCATCGCCTGGGCCTTCGGCGGCATGATGTTCATCCTCGTTTACTGCACTGCTGGCATATCTGGTGCGTTATACAACTTTCACATGTTCAGTCCCTCTAGTTATTTCATGCTATGGTCTTCAGGGGTTTATGTGTTTTCTGTAATGTTTCTCGTCGTTTTGACACAGGTGGGCACATCAACCCGGCAGTGACATTGGGGCTATTTTTGGCAAAGAAGGTAAGCTTGATCAGGGCAGTGTCGTACATGATCGCCCAGTGCTTGGGCGCAATTTGTGGTGCAGGATTGGTGAAGGCATTCATGAAGCCCTACTACGACTTGCACGGAGGTGGTGCCAACTCGGTGGTGCCAACTCGGTGGCTCCGGGCTATGGCATGGGTGCGGCCCTGGGTGCTGAGATCATTGGCACTTTCGTGCTAGTTTATACCGTGTTCTCGGCCACTAACCCAATGAGGAGAGCTCGCGACTCTCATGTGCCCGTACGTACTGCTTACTAGTTGCTGTTGTTACTAGTTCGTTAGCTTTTCTGATGAGATAGGGTTTGCATTTTGGGTGTGCAGGTTTTGGCTCCATTGACAATTGGCTTTGCAGTGTTCATGGTTCACCTGGCCACCATCCCCATCACCGGCACCGGCATCAACCCGGCTAGGAGCTTTGGTGCTGCTATTAGCTACAACAATGACAAAGTCTGGGATGACCAAGTAAAGCCCGTCTCCCTCTCTCTCTCCCCTTCCTTAAACCAAGTTTTACTGCATGAATAACACACATTAGGAGCTAGCTAAAACACGCGAATCGTTTGCATTTATGGCGGTGAGAACTTGGATTCCTCCGGTTCGATGACCTCTCTTTATCCAAAGATGTTATGTGCGCATTTGGATTTGATATTATCGCCAAGAGATAGTGATTTTAGGCTAGTATTAATTGATGTTTGCAAATGTGGATGTTCATGAGCAGTGGATCTTCTGGTTTGGACCATTTGTGGGGGCATTAGCAGCAACAGTATACCACCACCACATTCTCGGGGCAACTTCCATCAAGGCTCCCAGAGCAACTACCATCGAGGCCCTCGGCAACCCTACCAACTAAAATCTTTCCTTTTTGTTGGCCTTTTTATCCCGTTTGTTTGTTTTTCATGAATGGGAGAGAACCATGATGATGGACCTCCTCTTGATTTATTGATCCCATTTATCATTATTATTGCTGTTATTATTGTTCGTGATTAGTGGCGGAAGTGTTTCCTTTTTCTTTCATATTCTATCCCCTGCGATCGCGTGCACTCCCGTCGAAAACCGACCCGACAACCCTAATCAAGTCAAGTGTAGAGACTGCAGGGGACTTGAATCCTTCAACCAAGACTCCTAACTATGAGCAAACATTCAGTATATAAACTAGAATTGGACTTAGGAACATGCGCGATCAATAGGGAGGAGGATGAACATCCCGCCGTGTCTCTAAGGAAATAACACACTTAGAACTAATAGGACGAGCAAAAGAATGCTCGGACGATGTAATAATACTGATGAGGTTTCTGAGTTGGCTGTCTTTCCATCTTCATGTTAAACATTGTAATGCCTCGACTGAGGGCTGAATCGCTACTGATCTTGGAAAGAAAGCCGGGGCGACAAGAGGGAGAGAGTGGAGGGAGAGGTGAAACGGCGAGCGTTGCGCCGGTCTAATTCGGGACTCAAAGCTCCCATCCAGCCAATAGGACGTGGAGGTAGACGGAGAAAATATGAGTGAATATTGGGTAGGCTTGTCTTGCCACGTAGCCGTGCGACACTCCATTCGTTGCTCACCACTTGTCCGAGCAGAGGCCCATTTTTCAGATTTTTTCTGTCTACGTTGCTCTGTCTCTTCTCTGCCGTTTTATGCGTTTTTCGTTTTGTCTCTCGTCGGCAACGGACGACGCTGGTGACTGTGGATAGCAGCGTCACCGGTCATGGACAAGCCAGGCTTGCGACCGATGCCAACACTCGTCCGGCTTGATCTAGTCGGTGTTTGGAGATTGAGATGGGTGAGGCCAGATCTGGAGTTCTCCATATCTAGGTCTCGACAAGCTCTATGGCCATCGTCAGCGTCGTTCGGCTAGATTTAGTTGGAACTATTGAAATTTTCTGTTACTTTCTCCAAATTACTAGAATTGTGAATATTAGAAAAATGGTTTTATGGACATCCAAAAATTCTCTAATTGATCCGGTCTGTGCAAATATTCATGGTATAAAATTCTGATTCGTAGCCTTTGAAAGGTTTGGTGAGATTATTGAAGACTAGCACGATCGAAATTTGAAAAAGCATCTAATTTCTATCTGTTTTTATGGAGAATGGACTTATTTTCTGCAAAAATTGATCTTTTTTTTTTTTGGATGTTTCAAAGGCTTTAAGAAATTTTTGGACCGTTGGGGGTACTTATCGGGCCCTTGGACCGGAATTTTTGTAAATTTCGTACTAAACGGGCTTCTTGGCCCAAGTGAGTGTAGCCGCTATTTCTGAGGGTGCAATTTCTGAAAAAGGGCTACAACTTGCATCGCATTATTACTAAAAGGTAAAATTATTTTGTTATGATATTGGATCCGGTATTTGATAGCTTTCAAGTTGGTGTTATTTTGGATATACATCGAAAATGATCATGTGGGTGAATTATTTCAGATCATTTATTAGCACATTGGATATCATCTATATCGATATTGGATTGATGCACAAAGTTGGCATATGTATTAAGAGGTGATAGATGTTTGCCGATCAGTTCTATTTTGGGGCTTAACTACAACCGATATGTTTACTAGGGCTTAGTGTTTTCGACATGAGCAACCAGTTTGGTATCTGTACATTGAGATATTTCGATGACATATAAGGTGTGATATTACATCATATGTGATTTAAATGTGATACAAATGCTAATGTGATGTGCCGCATAATTGATACAAAATTTGCGTCATTCGTTGCTCGATTCCATTGAAGCGGTGATTGTCACTTTCCCAGTCCACGGTTTTGCTCACCCCTTTTAATACCATTTCGGATTGTGAATAAGGAAACATAACCGAGTCACATAGAGAGCAGTCTGAATGAGGTTGGACTCTAATTTTGATTAATTGAGTAAGGGCTATTAAATGGGATTTCACGAAACTCTCGTTTTGATCAATTCACGACAATCCAAACTTTGTTATTCTATTCATTTGGTGAAAGGTTTTATTAAATTATCGTTTTCGTATAAGGGCTATTGTTGATTGAAGGCTTTGTCCATTATTTTATAAGGAATGGCCGGCCATTCCCTAAATTCTAGGTTTGGATTTGGAGTGTGACGGTAGGTGTCCAAAAATAGTGAACCTTGAAAAGTCGGCCAGAGAAAAAATGATGACTTACAAAATATTAAAGAAATAGCATGCATAGTAGCCTAAACTCTAGATTTTATCCAGCTTTAACTTTGGCCTCCATTGATTTTTTTTTGGGACATGTTCATTAGAAGTCCTAAAACTTATCACGAAAGTGCAATTGAGTCCTAAAACTTGCAAAAAGTGCGATCAAATCCTAAAACTTGTCAAATTAATTAAATTGAGTCATAAAGTTAACACCATCAAACTTACTAACGAAAAATGCTGACGTGACGTTGATGTGACTTATTTTAATATTTTCTCTCTCTTATGTAGGCGAGGGCCTGCGAGCCCTCCCGGCGATGGTGGGGCGGCGAGGAGTGCAAGCCCTCCCTCCCTGCCTATCCTCTTCCTTTTTTATTTATTTATAATTTTAGCTTATTTTTAAATTTTTATTTAAATAAATTTAGTATTAAAATAATAATAAAATTCACATCATCGCTACGGATGATAGAAAAAATAATAAAAAAATCACGTCAGCATTTTCTTTTAGCCAAATTGGACAATGTTAATTTTAGGACTCAATTGAATAAATTTGACAAGTTTTAGGACTTCATAGTACTTTTTGCAAGTTTTATGACTCAATTACATTTTCGTAACGAGTATTACGACTTCTAGTCAACATATCCCTTTTTTTTTTGGGTCAAATGGCCTCCCTTGTTTAGCCGCTTGAAATTGCCCTTGTTTGTTTATGTGGGTCGGGAGTGTATTAACAAACTTATATTATCGAAAAGAAAAAATTCATTATTTTCTCTTTTAATAAAAGGAACAAAAAATAAATAAAATATTAAGGTACCAAGAGAGATTATAATAGAAGGAATTCCTCCGAGCAAAAAATTGCTAGTAATAGTCCTTGTAAGCACATCTTCTATTGGATGATGGGCAGAATTTCAATTTTTGAATAAATTTAGGGACTTTATTGAAATATTTTTCGCGTCAGCTATCAAACGTCACCGTATTGCGGGAACGTGTCAGAGGACAAAGCTTGAACTCCAAGATAGGCCACGTAACAGCAGAAAGCCAAGCAGCCCTTGGCGTTGACATAATAAACCCCACCTAACTCGCTTAGTTTTACTCCCCAGACCTTGTACTAATCCACACGCATTCTTTGTTTTATCATTATTACCTTCATGTTTTTCATGATTATAAATAAAATTGGCCGTGTACATCGGAAAGCCTAAGTCGGAGTTTAAGCTTATAATAGCTTGTGATTAGAAGTGATTGGTGGATTTTTTTTTTTATCGATGTAGATTATAACAAATAGGGATAAGTGCACTACAAGTCCTAAAACTCATTGCGAAATTGCAATTGAGTTTTAACACTTTCAAAAAGTGCAATCAAGTGCTAAAACTTGTTGAATTACGGTAATTAAGTCCTTCTGTTAACTCCGTTACAAAAAAATGCCTACGTGGTGTTCTTTGTTAGTTTCTTCCCCAAATCTTACTTAAATTAGATTTTAAAATTGTTAAAAAGGGTAAATTAAAAAAAAAAAAAAAAAAAAAACTTCCTCACCGGTGGGTCTCCAATGCCGAGGAGGGCCGGCGGAGGTCGCTGAGGCAGGCTGAATTTGTTTGGGTCTTACAGGTTAGTGCAGCAATTTATTTCATCCGGGAGGAAAGAAATGTGGCACTTCATGGAGGAACAACATCTTCAGTTGACAAAGTAATGAACAATGTTCATTTCTCTATCAGACTGCATATGTCCTCCTTCGTTATGTTGAGGAAGATGGCACTGTCGAAAGATGATCAGGATCTTTTGGAGGGAATACATGATCACAACGCAAATTTTTTCTGATGATAGGCATCGGCGGCGGCCCACCAGCGACGGCCTGTGGCTCTTTTTCTTTTTTTTTTGGAGCTCGGGTTCTTACTTTTTAATAAAATTTAGCATTTTTTTTTATTTTTTTCAATCTAATTTAAGTAAGATTTGATGAAAAATTAATAAAAAATGTCACGAAGATGAGAGAAAATAATAAAAAATGTCGTATCAATATCTTTCGTTACACAAATTAACGAAGTTAACGAAAGGACTTGAGTGCATCAATTTAACAAGTTTTAGGACTTAATTGCACATTTTAAAAGTTTCAGGACTCAATTACATTTTCGGAATAATTTTTAGAATTTCTATTATACTTATCCCTCTAACAAATATTCGACCAAGTTCCCGTTGATAAAAGATCGGGTAGAATAGATTTGCCTCAAACTCGCGCCGAATGCAAAAATAGCTTAATCATTTGATAGGCTAAAGGTAGAAAAAAGAAGATTTAAAAAAAGTACATGCTGCAATTTCGTAAAAATACGGGGCAAATTGCAAAAATCGGAGAAACTAAAAAGAAAAAACAAGAAAAAAAAAAAAAGAAACTCTAAACCGGCAACGTTTCGCGGAAACGTACACGCAGTCTCACATTTCGCGGAAAATTACGTGCGACGGACATATACAAAAAGAGACGCGCTCCTCCAATTATTACAAGAAGAGTTCGAGTTCGTTGGTAAACTGTTTCACTGTCTGATTCTCTCTCTCTCTCTCTGCTGCAGTTTTTCAGTAGCCAGACACGATCTGAATTCTTGTTAAGCTCCACATAAGAAGAGGGAAACCATGTCGATGCAAAAGAGAGCTCTGCCTTCCTCTTCTTCAGGTCAACCAAGTCAACCCAAGAGGCCATGCTTCCCTCCAACCGAGTAAGCTCCCTCTTCCCTCTTGATGTTTCAATGCTTAACTCAGTGTTTGATGATCGTGCGTTAGTTTTAGCTTCACTTGAGGGAGATTCAATGAAGGGGGTTCTTGAGTTGAAGATTCTTGAAATGTGAGATATGGTGAAAGCCCGCGGTGAGGCATGACATCAAAAGGCTTTTGCCTCACGACCGTTCTGAATCGCTTTCGTTCAGTTCTTTGTTTGTGGGTGTGTGCTGTTGCTTTAATGCGAGGCATTAAAGACCTCGAATGTTGTCATCTCGAATCTGTTTCGTGATTTTGCGTTGGCCAATCGCGGTACTTCCTGCTTATTCGAACTGCGCTCTGTTAGAATCATTTGCCTAGCAAGTGAGCTGTTATCGTTACCGGGTTTCTTTGCTATCCTGTCGTCTAAAATATCCTGTCTTGCTTGTGCTTTTGTGCTGATGTTCATGCAGTCAAGCATGGAACGGGTCCGAGATGAATGTCATGCCGTGTTGCTGTTTGACAGAGGAGAAATTGCGGAGTGTGGTAAGATGAGTAAAGTAGCCAACCAGGACATGCAAAATACAGTCCTTATTATATGTCAATTCCTAGTCTCTTCGGGTAGAAGTGGTTAGATACATTTCTGACATTCCAGTCAGTTTCTGGAAAGTAATCCGCATGAGAAATTGCTGTGAGATGTATAGAGAATTATTGTTTGAGGTAAAAATGACCCACTGAATATTCTAGGCTTTCCTTGTGAGGAAATTGCACTAAGAACATGCTTTAGTCCTTTCATGTTGTTTTGGACAGTATGGATCACAAAAAGATACAAATTTTCAATTTGAGTGCCCTTGACATGACTGTCGCCTTGAATCTTGGAAATGCGGTCAATATCAATTTGCATGTAGAAGGAGGACAATGAAGATACTTGCGAAACTTGAATGCGATGACTACGTGACAGATGATTCTTGCAGTGTAATTCTTCGCTATTGCTCTTTTCTGGACAGGTCAGAGAAGAGCTGGAGCGTGCTAAACCTGACTGGGCTGAATATTTTCAGAGGTGAATATTTTTAATTTGGTTTGTTGGCAGTATCTTATCTGCACGTACTGATTTCTCTAGGAGAATTTCCATGTTTATTGTCTCGCCAGCTAAAACTATCATCTGAGTATTAATGCCATAAATCCAAGATTCTGTTTGGCAAAGTGTAACACCTACGCATACTTTTTCTGTTAATTACTGAAAGGACGGTGCATTTGGAGATAGCTGCTAATCAACATTACTTGCTTCTGTTATCAATGTACTGGATAAATTTGTGTTCCAGCTTTACGTTGACTTGTCTTATCGCGTTAAGAGTAAGGGAATACATTTTGTGAGTCTGGTACATATGGTTTTATACAGTAATTAGATCTGACATTCATTTGTACAAATAACTAAAATGTTAATGGTTTTTAGTCTTTTTGTCACGAATAAGTCCACAAGACAGCAGTTGTTCACGGTGTCAATTTTTATGGTGTAGTTGCATCCGGAATGCTCTCAAAGATATAGTGCCACAGATGCGCTCAGAGAATGATTTTCAGAGATTGGTAAGATAAACAGAGTTTATAAAATTTCCACTTTGAATCAGACATATCTTCATCAACACATTAGTTATGAGTTGTTTATCTGCATGTCATGAAGTGATCGAATGAACTTACTAATTGCTTTATTCCGACGGTTTTAACAGCATTCATTGAGCATGAACTTTGCGCAAACTCCTTTGTCTATAAGTAAATATTCATTTTGTTGCGCAACCTGTGGAAAGAAAAACATGGGAAGGCCTACTTTCCATACAAGTCTGTTACAGCATAATGTCCCACACATGCAGCTGAAATTGAGGCGCCAACCCTTCTCGTCAATGTGAACTCTTGGGGAAGATCAATCTGCTATCCCTAGATTAACTTTTATCCGTTGACCGAGGGCCCTTCCACTCGGTACCGTCCGCTTACTAAGGCCAACTTGTGCCCCTGCTCGACGGGAAGGATGGGAGATCCTTTTTAACAATGTGTTATAATAGGAAAGCCTCACATATTGAAATAGGAGATCCTTTTGTGCAACCTATTACGACTCACCAGCCAAGTTCTAAAGCCATGTTTTGTCATATTAGTCTTAAACCATAGAAGCCTAAGCCAAGTCACTTTGTTGCCCATTGCCTCACTAGCTTCCAAGCCTTCTTTACAGAGAAAGAGCCCCCAGAAGATCCAGTAAATACCACTTTGTCTACAGAGCCAGACTTTGGAGTAATCAGTCCACACAAAGCCATCTGAGTTTCAAGCAGATCACCAGACCTTGCTGGAGGCCATCTCCATTCATTTTTCCTCAATAACATTTTCGACTGTGGCTTTATCACTTAAAGCTGAATCATAATCATTCTAAAACACATGAATATTTTTTTCTTGGACATGGAATGGATGGGGAAAATGAAAATGCTTAGGATTGTTCATATGAGTTTTATAGACAACTGCTGCTTGGTAAAAGACTGATTTCAAATATGCGTGAAGAACTTAACTCAATAAGGTGTTCGGTGAGTTATTATTAAGAAGGAACGACAGAATAGGTTTTTCAACTCCTTTTGATGGAATGGATTGGTTTTGTATCCCTTCTGCTTCATTTTCTGATCTCTCCAACTTTGGCAATTCTACTGTTGGTGGTGTTGAACAGAAGGAAGCAGTGGAGTCTGGAAACAGTCACACTCTACACCTCGAAAGGTATGAATGCACTTCCCCTGTGATGCCGTTGAAAAAGGCTTTCTGTGTAGTATTGACCGGTTATGCATTGTTGTCGTTTTGGGAATAATTGTCCGACCCACCACTACCACCCCACAACAGGTAGTCAGAGCTCAGTGAGTGTAAGGCCACAAGGACTCATCATGCGCCCCAGTGTCAATGCTCCGATTCAGAATATAACCTTTTGTAGCTTAAGAGCAGTGGAGCATTTTATTTTATTTGATCTCTTTAAAAATTTGCATTATTGAACTCTCTTAGACAATGTATCTATTTATCCTTGTAGTTTCCCCGGGAGTGATACCTGTCCAAGTGAGATGTTTGGTAGCTTGTCTCTCTTTATCGGTACTTATTCGATTTTCTGCTTCCGTATCTGTCTCTATTTCTAATGGTTGTTTGCTGGTGATTGTATAGGGGTAATGCTAAATCTACAGCAAACAATGGAGCGAGAAACTTACAGCTTCAACTGACAACCAAACTGTCACTTCCTCTATTTACTGGAATGAAAATAGAAGGAGAGGAGGGTGCTCGCATTTATGTTGCCTTGATCGATGCGAACACAGGGGATGTTGTTACATCAGGCCCAGAATCCTCCATTAAGTTGGACGTCGTTGTGCTTGAAGGTGATTTCAACAAAGACAATGAGGATAACTGGGCTCCAGAAGAGTTTAAGAACTACGTGGTTAAAGAACGTGAAGGAAAGGGGCCGCTTTTGGCAGGAGATCTCGTAGTGAAGCTAAAGGGAGGTGTTGGGGAGCTGGGACAACTGATATTTACTGACAATTCCAGCTGGAATAGGAGTAAAAGATTCAGGTTAGGGCTTAAGGTGGCATCGGGTTTTTGCGGGAACACGCGAATCCGAGAAGCAAAAACAGATGCCTTCCCTGTCAAGGAACATAGAGGGGAAGGTAGGTCCTTCATAGTCTTTTTACAATAAATATGCCTTATCCTTTATGACTGAACATAAACATGTTGGACATCCACCGTCTTCAATTTTTTAATTGAGAGCTTCATTTCGTATGGATCTTTACAACTCGAACGAAAATTCTGATAAATAAGAAACATTTGGTTTGTTCGTTATTAGCAAATGTTGACACTTTGCATCAGTTTCAGGAGAGAGCTTGCAAGCCTTTTACAAGTTTGCTTGCTTCTACAAATTAATCTGATAGTGACAGGGACATTATTGTATATGTGCTCTTCATTTTACAGCTTACAGGAAACATCATCCACCTGCATCTGACGATAAGGTGTGGAGGTTGGACAAGATTGCCAAAGATGGGACATCTCACCATAAACTGAGTAAAGCTGGAATATGTACAGTGGAGGACTTTCTACTGCAACTGTTCATGGACCCCAAGAAACTGAGAAAGGTAAGCACTTAGTTAATGATTACCAATTAGGGTTTGATTGACTGCCAAAAATGTAAGTCTTTTGTGTTCAATCATCATAGATTCTCGGAAAGAGCATAACAGAGAATAAGTGGGATAGCCTCATATGCCATGCAAAGACTTGCAAAACAAAGTGGAAGCTTTACTGGGACTATCCTGATGGCGTGACGAAGCATGGTGCTGTATTCAACACTGATGGTCAACAGATCGGCCTAGTGAAAGACGGGGAATATTTTGCTACTCATCGACTTTCCGCCCAAGAGAAGGTTGGTAACCAAGTTCCTACTCAGTTTTGTCAAGCCAGTTCACTTGCTACACCATCACGGGGAATTCGAATAATTTGTCCCATATTTTCTATGTAATCATTATTTTTATGTTCGCTTGTAGCTGTGTGGCTTAATAGGTGTTAGATATGGAAACTTGAAACAAGGAGTCGGTTGGACATCTAGAGGCTCTGCTTCTCTTTTCTTTTCTTTTCTTTTCTTTTCTTTTTCCCGATCATAAAAGTAAAATGATGTTCCTGAGGAGAAAATAAAAAGAAAATATAGATGCTATGCTTAGATCCAAAATATACACCTTCTATTAATAGAGTGATTTTGAGCTTGCGCTCTTCGCAATGCAAAGTTGAGGTTAGTGACCTTGTAAATCTAAGTGGCCTTCTGTACTGAGTAAGTTGGAGACCACTTTCAGCTGTTAATTCGGTTTCATCCATGAGAATCTAAGGCACTCATCAACATATTGTAGTTTCAACAATTAACACATTCACGTCACAATACTGTCCAAGTTTAGAACTATCAAGATCTTAATTACTTGCAATACAAGTTGATGCGTGCTTTATTTCTTCACTGGTCCTTTCTCAATCAGCTTTGCATCTTTACCTTGAGGACCCTTGCCTTGATTGTACTCTATAGTACATCTTTCGAGCACCTGACCTTTATGTGATGGAGAAATGGCAGATATAGGCATAAAGTGAATTGCAGTTCTTTCAACATTATTCCATTAGTCCAGCCTGAGCAATTTACCAAGTGTTTTTCTTTCAGGAACATGGAGATACAATCGTGAAAAAGGCTTTGGTTAACTGGAATGATGTGAAAGAGTTCAGTGGTGAGACGTTTTCTGATTCAATGCAGAAGAATAGCTCAAGCTCATTTTCATCTCAAGTCCTTAGTGGACAAATTGAAAATTTCAACCCTGTTCCAAGTTATTTGGCTCCACCAATCTTTGCTGCTCCAGTTTGTCCGGAAGCTCCTCTGGCAAATGTGGGCTCCACTGCTGTAGGTACGTGCTCTAAAACACAAAACTGTATCTCCCTTTAAGCTCATACAAAGACGTGGCCTGTGAAATTACAATGAAAATAGGACTTACACTTGATTTTTTGTAGCTTTAATAAATAAAAGCATTGTGTTCCAGATCCTTATGATTTTGTGTTCCACATAATATGAAGACGTTTGTTTGTCCAGCTGTGATTGTTGCAAAATGAGCCTCACTCAATACACTCTATCCATATTGGCCAATATATGTATATATGTATGTATGCATGTTTGTGTTCTGTCTAAGCAATTGAAAAGCAACGAAAAAATTAGTGGTAACATGTGCCTTTTTTGAGTGGGGGATTGGGGGAGGGGGAGGACAGATACTCATGAACACCTTCACTTAGGTGATGCGAAGTGGATATTGACAAGATATTGCTATCACTAGGTAGATATGAATAGATGTAATGAGCACAAGGCAACGTGGTTAGATGTTTATTTTTATCAAATGGTGACCGGAATCTTTTCAGGAAGGGCCTCGTCAATTGAAGCGTGTTAAGATTGCAAAGATCAAGGGCAAGAAAAATTAAAGAGATGTGCAGGGTAAGGAGAAATAAAAAAACTAGTAGCACTTTCCGTGATATCAGAATAATAAAAGCTCATAACCAATCATTGCAAGAATTTTTATAAGCTCGTAGACCTGTGTTTACGTCGGCTTATGTTTATGAACCGTATTAATGCTTTAGTTCTTGCTCTAGGACTCAATGGTGCAACGGCTTTGGCATTGTCAGTTCAGTCACAAAATACCAATTCTGGAAATTCCATGGAGATTACAGTTGATGAAATTTTTCGTCTTGCTGCACATCGGCCCATGTCTGCAGACTGCTCGAATGTTCGGATCCCTCCAGGATATCATGGTGGTACTTGTCACGCCCTGAACCCCATCGAGCTCGCGACATCCCCTGCTCCGGTCGAAATGATGCGACGTCCCAGGAACGTCGCCGACCCAACCCAAACATCAGAGCCACATGCGGAAGCGAAAAAAATAAAACCCCGGACAAATAATGACGACAACGGGGTAGAACAACAAAACAATCCAGCAACCACATATTCATACAACACCAAATATACATACATCATATTACAGGCATAATTAACAAACTAGCATCCGAAATCACCGTCAACAAAATATCAGGGTCTGGTTAACTTAACTTCCCTATGGGTCAACCCGATTTACACAACCCCCAAAATCTTAAGGAAAAACCTAAGGATCGCCCTCCTCCTGTCTGCTTCTGAATCTCTGGCTCGAATCTCTGGAACTCACCTGCAGCTCCACTGGGTACCAACAGTAGCTCCCCGGACTTCCAAAAAGAAAAGGCGCACTTCCCGGGTTTAGGGCCGGGGGTCTGAAAGTGACGGTTATACAACCGTGAGACGAATCTCAATAAGTGTACAACCCCAAACCCCACGTAGGCACTCACGTACCGCCAGACGAAAACACACATAACACACAACGATCAGCCAACTAACAATCACATGCGACCCTACCTGGAATTCCTCACGCACGTCCCTGCACGTTAGTCAACCACACATCCAGTATGCCACAGAAATACATCACAGCAGCGCGCGTGCCCCGATTATAGAGCAAAACCCACTTGGGCACGTCCCATACCATGCCTAGCGCTTTTACCCCATAATCGAGCATCACACCACGCGATACAAACACACTCGCACACCAACTCACACCACGCGTCACTTTCTTAATTTCACTCGTCCCGCCAATTCTTGTTCATTCTCAACCTTTCCACCACTACCGCGCCCGCGTAAAACGCATCAGGCCAAACGGTCTTCTGACCTCGTCAGGCATCGCCACCCCGTCGGGCCGGGCATCGTCACCTCGTCAGGGACGGCATCGTCCCGCGTAAACGTACACGCCTCAGGACGGAATCCTACACACACTTTCCTTCTACCGCGCCCGCGTAAAACGCATCAGGCCAACGGTCTTCTGACCACGTCAGGCATCGACACCCCGTCGGGCCGGGCATCGTCACCTCGTCAGGGACGGCATCGTCCCGCGTAAACGTACACGCCTCAGGACGGATCCTTTCCAACCAATCTCACATTTCCATATCCTCGTTCCACTCAAACCACACTTACACACAACCAGCACACGCACGGCCAAACATACACGCCTCACACATTTATAGCCACACACCAAATTCACATCTCACGTACACTTCACAAACACGCATTCTCATCACACGGACACCTCATGATCACCCACACTCGGCACACGAACTCAATGCACATTCACATGTCCACGCCACCACACCTCACAGCCACACACACGGCATAGCACCACATCACATTCGGCCCAAGCACAAACTAGAACAAGCCAATGACAGCAAACTATACAATTAATCCGATAAACCCAATCAAGCCAATACATTTCCAATTAATCACCCATTTAATTCCCGATCGATCCTCGACATCACAGCCCTAACTCAGCATTCCTAAACCTCGAATTTCGTCGCCCAATCAGCCCACAACCTCCAAACATTCAGCCCCTAACTTAGTCCCGAAGATAGCCACGAAACAGCCACTAACAGTCCCTAAAATCACTTAAACCGAACCTCAAACGAGTCTAGAAATACCCGAGGTCCTAAATGACATTTGGGGAAAACACTTACTCAAAAGGCGAGACAGAACGGGGCTGGAACGGGCCGGGACAGCGGCAGCAGCGTCGCCGGCGATGTACGGACGGCGTGAACAGTGTTCCGTACGGACGCGATGAACAGTACCACTCCGTACGGACACTGTGCGGACAGGCTGGGACGGTGGCCAAAGAGGTGCCGGTGACAGCCGCGGCGTCCGACGGTCCGGCGTGAACAGTGATCCGTACGGACGTGTGAACAGTACCGTACGGCCACTGTACGGACGGTGCTGGACGGCGACGTACGGCGAGGCTGGACGGCTGGGTGTCGACGGAATGGCGATCGGAGCTCCGGCGAAGCTCCGGCGGTACTGTTTGTAAAACAGAAAAATGAGAAAAGAGGGAAAAAGGAGAGAGAGAGCTGTTTTTGGTCTATACCCGGGGCTGTGGTGGCTGCACAGAGGTGGAACTAGCTGCTGGTGCTGGTGATGCTGGCTCGGCGGGGGGCAGCACCGGCTGGTACTGTTCCGGCGTGAACAGTACCAGAACTTGCAGAAAGTGCACGGCAAAACCAGAAAAGGAAGAAAAGGGAGAAGAATTTGGGGGAAATGGGGAAGCTCTCGGCAGAATGGCTGGAGGAGAGAGAGAGGGTATGGTCAAATGGGTCAAAGATAGTCTTAGTGGAGTCCAAGTGTCATTATCCAAGCCCATTTGACAATTTTACCCTTGATCTAATGGACTAGATTTGATCAAATCCAATAATTTAGGGGTACAATGGTCTTTTGTCCCCTAACCATGGTTGACCAGACCTGGTTTAACCTTAACTCACCTTGGTTAATCCCAAAATTAAATCCAATTTTCGGAATTAATCAAAAATGGCCTAGGGGCATTTTCGTAATTTTCCGATCCCGAACCGAAATTCCAATTTTCGCACATACGCGTTCCATATATGCGTGGCCAACATGATATGGCGTCGGAATCGCGAAATTCATCGCGCAAGCCCTCGAAAATCCACGTCAAAGTCTCGGGAATAAAATAATATTATTTTTCCAATTTTTGTCGAAATTCCAATTTTTGGCCAAAACCACTCTAAATGTGCGTGGCCACCCCAAAATGACCTTGGCCGCGAAAAATAACCTCAAACGGCCTCCGAATCCGGCCTCGGTGCCACGGGGCAAAGCCGTAATTTTTCCGGCCGGACCGAAATCCATTTTTTTTCGAAATGGGTGGCCCCAAGGTTGGCCAAGCCAAAAACGTCATCGGCCGTCCAAAATTGTCACTTTCAAAATTCTCGATTCCCGGGCCCGAATTCCAAGAAATTACTAAAATCGAGCAATCGCAACTTTAGCTTATCTCACGGCTAACGGGTGGCTCTCTGGAATTACGCGCTCTCGACCCGTGACCGACACTAAGTCAAATCACGTTTAAGTTTACTCCACCGGGACGACCTCGGTTGTCATATAATTGCGAGGTCATCACTAGTGCCCTTTGGACACGATCAATCAAATAGATCGGTCTCGGTTGGCTCAAAACATTCCCTCGTCAATCGATATGGTCGAAGATCGAACCCAGGTCGAGTTCTTTGGTCGTACGAACTCAATCCCGTAACGGCCTTACCCCTAAGGTTAGCATCCCGTGAATGCGCATTTCCGGGTGAGATTTCACTACAAGTGCATTGGCCAAAATATTCATTTCATAGATCCCGGGAAAAGGATCGAAAATTCAGACTGTTACAATTCTTCCCCCCTAATAAAAATTTCGTCCTCGAAATTTACAACTATACCTGCTATCCAAACAGGTGGGGGAGATGACGTCTTATTATCCTTACTTCCGTAATATTCCCACACAACTTAGACCAACGGGACCGTCTTAATCCTTAAAACCTGTTCCTTCACATTTGCCCCTAAAATCCAATATACATATTCCCAACATATCCTCTACAGTCCGTATAGTCCTTCCAAACTGGTCATCCAATAAGATCTCTTACTTAAGTCCTGTCAACAGCGCAACTATCGAGGTTCCTTCTCGACTCCTTACAATCTCAAATCTAAGGTGTCCAAAGACCAAAGCTGAATCACCCTATTGCTCAATCCATTACAACATTCATTTAACTAACCAATCCAAACCCACGATCAAACCGAAATCACACATAACTAACAAAGCCAAATCTATTCCGCTTTCTACACCACCAAACACCATTTCACAGTCTGAACATCCCAACAGCATGCACATCTTATTCATCAATGGCATAATCACACACGCTTGTACTTCTAGAAACAATTTCAATCCAGCCATATAACAAATCAAACAGACGCAAACGAGTGCAACGCCCCGAATCTATAAAACAAATGCCACCTAATTATACCAAGAACCATACCTGGGGTTACGCCTGGCGCATCCTCAACTCCTTCTTGCGTCAAGGCGTACACACGTCCTTGTGCCGGCGGTCTGCTCGAATTAGTCGGCGGGGCTGCACTAGTCGGATTCCCAATCCGAGGTGCCTGCACTGACGGGGGTGGTCGAACTTGAAGATTCGGGCAATTCCTTATGTGATGTCCCATTCCACCACACCCAAAACATGCCCCAGTCACACTTGGGCAGGGACCATTCCCATGGTATCTCCCACACTGTCTACAGGCTGAACTAGACGAATATGCCGACTTTCCAATATTCCTTCTTGCCGGAGGGACAAAACGTCGATTTTCCATCATCGGCCTTTTTCCCAGCTGACGATCGTCCCCGGCTGAGATATGTGGTGATCCAGACGCGACGGTTCTTTCCATCATATCCTGCTCAATAATTTGAGCCCGCCTATATATTTCTCCATAATCCTTAATGTCATGCGATAATATCAGACTCCGAAGATCCGGCTTTAGTCCATCCCGGAATCTTCGCGCTCTATCTCTCGGGTTCTCCACCATGGTCGGTGCAAACTTAGCCAATCTCGCGAACTCGGCCTCATACTGATCCACAGTCATTTGTCCCTGGCGCAAGCGCATAAATTCCATCAACTTTTTCTCTTGCGCATTTTCCGAGAAATATTTTTCATAAAAATTCTCCACAAACACAGCCCAAGTCGAGGCCGTTCCTACAGGAAACACTCTACCTTCCACAGCATTCCACCAATCATTTGCACCCTCTTGTAACTGATAAACTGCCAATGTCACTTTCTCCTCCTCGGTGCACCCCAAAACCTTAAAAGTCTTCTCCAGTTCTTCTACCCACCTTGGCGCAGCCTCGGGGTCACCACGACCATGAAATTTAGGCGGCTTCAATTTCATAAATTGCTCTACTAACTAGGGCATTTGCCTAACCCCGGCTGGTTGAACCTGCCCTTGCTGGGCTTGATTCCCTCCAATACCAGCATTTTCATTAACTGCAGCAGCTGCAGCCTCAGCCGCTTGGGCGGTCGCATTATCTCGCTCTTGGGCTTGCCGATCCAACATATTCCCAATCCTTTCTAATACCCTGAGAACTCCTTCCATTCGCGGATCTTCCGCGGGCCTAGCATCAGCTCTGGGGTCCCTTGCAGCTCTAACACCCACTTCAGGATTTTCTACTACTCTAGCATCCATACCCAGATCCTCTACGGCTCTAGCTCTAGCACGACCTCGACCCCTTACTCCTCTTCCTGCACCCCTTCTGGTACCTCTTCCTACTCCTCTTCCTTCGCTGCTCATTATATCAGCTTCCTACTATTCTCCTACCTGCTATAAGTCCACACGGGTATCAGAGGTCTAGGCCAACTACACTAGTCCAAACCCTAAGCACAGAACTCGACAACCAGCACTTAACAACCAGCAACCCACCATCAAATCAATCACCTAACATCAAACCAACACTACTAAACACTCAACAAGGATCTCGTACTCACCTCAAGTCCTGCCGCACCTTCGTCTCAACCATCATTACAACCACAACAATCCACTCAGCAATCACAGGCGCGTACTCACAAAACACGCACAATTAACATAAACACGCATCTACAAAGGGCTCCCTAACTGGCTACCCTGAAGTCGTCGCTCCTTATCACTCCAGGTCTCGACCTTACTGATATCGAGCTAACCTTGCTCTGATACCAATTCAAACGGGGATGTCACGCCCCGAACCCCATCGAGCTCGCGACATCCCCTGCTCCGGTCGAAATGATGCGACGTCCCAGGAACGTCGCCGACCCAACCCAAACATCAGAGCCACATGCGGAAGCGAAAAAAATAAAACCCCGGACAAATAATGACGACAACGGGGTAGAACAACAAAACAATCCAGCAACCACATATTCATACAACACCAAATATACATACATCATATTACAGGCATAATTAACAAACTAGCATCCGAAATCACCGTCAACAAAATATCAGGGTCTGGTTAACTTAACTTCCCTATGGGTCAACCCGATTTACACAACCCCCAAAATCTTAAGGAAAAACCTAAGGATCGCCCTCCTCCTGTCTGCTTCTGAATCTCGCTCGAATCTACGGAACTCACCTGCGGCTCCACTGGGTACCAACGGTAGCTCCCGGACTTCCAAAAAGAAAAGGCGCACTTCCCGGGTTTAGGGCCGGGGGGTCTGAAAGTGACGGTTATACAACCGTGAGACGAATCTCAATAAGTGTACAACCCCAAACCCCACGTAGGCACTCACGTACCGCCAGACGAAAACACACATAACACACAACGATCAGCCAACTAACAATCACATGCGACCCTACCCTGGAATTCCTCACGCACGTCCCCGCACGTTAGTCAACCACACATCCAAGATGCCACGAAATACATCACAAAATACACAGTGCCCGATTATAGAGCAAAACCCACTTGGGCACGTCCCCATACCATGCCTAGCGCTTTTACCCCATAATCGAGCATCACACCACGCGATACAAACACACTCGCACACCAACTCACACCACGCGTCACTTTCTTAATTTCACTCGTCCCGCCAATTCTTGTTCATTCTCAACCTTTCCACCACTACCGCGCCCGCGTAAAACGCATCAGGCCAAACGGTCTTCTGACCTCGTCAGGCATCGACACCCCGTCGGGCCGGGCATCGTCACCTCGTCAGGGACGGCATCGTCCCGCGTAAACGTACACGCCTCAGGACGGATCCTTTCCAACCAATCTCACATTTCCATATCCTCGTTCCACTCAAACCACACTTACACACAACCAGCACACGCACGGCCAAACATACACGCCTCACACATTTATAGCCACACACCAAATTCACATCTCACGTACACTTCACAAACACGCATTCTCATCACACGGACACCTCATGATCACCCACACTCGGCACACGAACTCAATGCACATTCACATGTCCACGCCACCACACCTCACAGCCACACACACGGCATAGCACCACATCACATTCGGCCCAAGCACAAACTAGAACAAGCCAATGACAGCAAACTATACAATTAATCCGATAAACCCAATCAAGCCAATACATTTCCAATTAATCACCCATTTAATTCCCGATCGATCCTCGACATCACAGCCCTAACTCAGCATTCCTAAACCTCGAATTTCGTCGCCCAATCAGCCCACAACCTCCAAACATTCAGCCCCTAACTTAGTCCCGAAGATAGCCACGAAACAGCCACTAACAGTCCCTAAAATCACTTAAACCGAACCTCAAACGAGTCTAGAAATACCCGAGGTCCTAAATGACATTTGGGGAAAACACTTACTCAAAAGGCGAGACAGAACGGGGCTGGAACGGGCCGGGACAGCGGCAGCAGCGTCGCCGGCGATGTACGGACGGCGTGAACAGTGTTCCGTACGGACGCGATGAACAGTACCACTCCGTACGGACACTGTGCGGACAGGCTGGGACGGTGGCCAAAGAGGTGCCGGTGACAGCCGCGGCGTCCGACGGTCCGGCGTGAACAGTGATCCGTACGGACGTGTGAACAGTACCGTACGGCCACTGTACGGACGGTGCTGGACGGCGACGTACGGCGAGGCTGGACGGCTGGGTGTCGACGGAATGGCGATCGGAGCTCCGGCGAAGCTCCGGCGGTACTGTTTGTAAAACAGAAAAATGAGAAAAGAGGGAAAAAGGAGAGAGAGAGCTGTTTTTGGTCTATACCCGGGGCTGTGGTGGCTGCACAGAGGTGGAACTAGCTGCTGGTGGTTCTGGCTCGGCGGGGACAGCACCGGCTGGTACTGTTCCGGCGTGAACAGTACCAGAACTTGCAGAAAGTGCACGGCAAAACCAGAAAAGGAAGAAAAGGGAGAAGAATTTGGGGGAAATGGGGAAGCTCTCGGCAGAATGGCTGGAGGAGAGAGAGAGGGTATGGTCAAATGGGTCAAAGATAGTCTTAGTGGAGTCCAAGTGTCATTATCCAAGCCCATTTGACAATTTTACCCTTGATCTAATGGACTAGATTTGATCAAATCCAATAATTTAGGGGTACAATGGTCTTTTGTCCCCTAACCATGGTTGACCAGACCTGGTTTAACCTTAACTCACCTTGGTTAATCCCAAAATTAAATCCAATTTTCGGAATTAATCAAAAATGGCCTAGGGGCATTTTCGTAATTTTCCGATCCCGAACCGAAATTCCAATTTTCGCACATACGCGTTCCATATATGCGTGGCCAACATGATATGGCGTCGGAATCGCGAAATTCATCGCGCAAGCCCTCGAAAATCCACGTCAAAGTCTCGGGAATAAAATAATATTATTTTTCCAATTTTTGTCGAAATTCCAATTTTTGGCCAAAACCACTCTAAATGTGCGTGGCCACCCCAAAATGACCTTGGCCGCGAAAAATAACCTCAAACGGCCTCCGA